AGCTATTTTATTGAGAAGTACCACCCGAAACTTAATTCTAAATAAGAGAATAATTAAATTAAATTAAATAAAATAAAGACCGTGGTGGGATTGAATATTTGTAGTCTGTAGGCTAAGAAATTACTACCCTTGCCTGTATAATAATGTAACTATGACATTGTGACGTCATAGACTATTGTTAATTGAATTATTGTTTAATAAATGCCTGAAGAGCCCCTATCGCTGGTGAAAACGTTAGCATAAAAATGTAGTTTTATTTTGCCATCTTTAATTTCAATTATATATTACCAAAGAGCAGCTTTAATTAACTATTCTACTATATATATATATATATATATATATATATGAAAGGTACTGAGCTTCGTCCATCAGCTCCAGTCTAGCATCCTAAGAGGAAATATCAAGAAACTAAAAAATGTTCTTGATTGCTTGACGTTTGGTTGTTCTCTGCTTTTAAAGTGAATGAGGACGGAGTGAGCATGGCGCAGTCACTATAGTCTGCCGGATAAACACAGATTTATGTGTTTCCTGGAAAAAAGTCCCATCAAAGCAAAATTGGTCTCAAATGAAAGGTGGGGTTCGTAGGTACTTCAGAAAAAAATTACCCATCATGATCGCTTGGGGAAGATTTTTGGGGCGGGGTCAAACGTCAAGGTCGACCAATCAGAAAAAAAGTCACTATCGCAAAAACTATCAATGTTAGACCCTATAAATGTATTATCAATATCTCGTACAAAATTTCTGCTGTGCTAGATGAGTGGACAGTGGTATCCGATACTCTGAACCTTGATCCTTAAGTTGCGGGTCCCCTTCCCATGGGGGGGGGGGTGAGGGGTGAGGGGTGTCTGACAAAACGTCGAAATTTCGAGTTTAATTCGACTTTTGCGTAAAACAATCAACTTTCGTGCATACGTCGACCAACTTCAGATGTCGCTAAAACACTGCTCATGAAGACCCCCGACCCTCCTTCCTCCCTTAGGAACACACCCTTGAGAGAGGAGTTAATTCGACTTCCCTGTTTCGTTAAAAGTTTCACAATTGGTCTGCTTGAACATAACACTAACTTAAGAACGCGAAATCCCCTTCTATCTCGGATAAGAACGACAAAACGGGGAACGAATGGGTGAAATGACAGAAATGACGATTTAATTCGACTTTTGCGTACAACGATCAACTTTAGTGCATATGTCGACCAACCTCAGATGCAATCAAAACACTTCATAAGAAGACCCACGGCCCTTCCTTCCTCCCAGGGTGAAATGGCCGAAACCGACGATATAAGTTAACTTCAGCCTACAAATATCATCCTTCCTGCCTATGTAAACTTACCTCAGATAACATCAAAAACTCTGCTTCCAGACCCATTCTTCACCCATTAAGAACGCCCCCTTTAGCCCCATCAGCCCCATCAGAGATGAGTTAATTCAACTTCTGCGTTCTACATTAATTTTTTCGTTAAACGTTTCACTATTTGTCCACGGGTTAGTACGGGTTTTATATAGCTCGGCTACTCGGAGAAGGGAGCTGATTTAGTTGATGACCCTAAAAGCTCCTGACGTCCATTCTGTTTCACCTAAATACAATCTGTAAGATTTGTCATACTCATGATATTCCTAGATCATCCAGACAGAGTGATATTTTCATTAAGGACTCCAATGAATTGCTCTCCTACGGTGTTGTCGACCTACTCACTAATGTGCCAAGAGAAGAAGCCTTGATTTCAGAGTTCTTGAAACCCGTATTCGATAACTTTCTACACCACTGGATACATCACTACAAGTTGATGCCATAATTCCTTTGATCAAGCAATGTCTGGAATCCACATATTTCACATGGGGGAAAACTATTATGAACAGATCCATGGTTTATCGATGGGAAATCCTTTATACCCGCCGATTTCTGAAATTTACATGATGTCACCAGAAGAAGGCACTCTAACCGCTCCTTTTCAACCTATTTTCTGGTTCAGAAAGATGGATAACATCTTCGTCATGTTACAAAAAGAAGACGCTACTGTCGTCCCCCTGAATCACGTGAACAACCAACATCCAAGAACGAAGTACACAATGGAGAATGAAACCAACAGCAGCCTCCCATTTCTTAATGTAATGGAAAGAAGAGAGAACTCCATAATATTGACACCAAAGACAACTACTTAAACAAAATCAGCAAATCGTCCGATTTTTCCGCCACAAGTGGCAGCAATATTGGCTATGTGCTAAATATGTGAACATGTGATCATTTTACATAGTTGTAAATGTCAGAAATGAAATCTGCGCCCCGTAAACATATATATTGATATCAAACACTACTACCTAATCAAATTCTGGACATGTCCCAATTCCCGCCAAAAATGGCTGCCATCTTGGAAATATACTAAGAATGTGACCATGTGATCAATTTACAAGGTTGTAAATATCAAAAATGGAATCTACGACCCCAAAAACATATATATTGACACCAAACACTACTACTTAATCAAAATCTTCACATCGACACATTTTCCCGCCAAAAATGGCAGCGTCTTGGAAATATGCTAATTATGTGAACATGTGATCATTTTACAAGTTTGTAAATGTCAGAAATGGAATCTGCGACCCCGAAAACAAATATATTGACACCAAACACTACTCTTAAACAAAATCTTCACATTTTCCCACTAAAAATGGCCGACATCTTTGAAATAACTTCATGAAGTGATGGGAAAAAATTTGAAATATAGTCATGACCCCTGTGAATACTAATACAGTGCCAAATCACAGTTGATATGTCGATAACATTATAAATAGGCTGAAAATAAAAAATAAAATAAGTTGTAATATTATCGAAAATGGCTACCCTCAGATAATGGCCTCCCATGAAGACCTACTCAGAAAAAATGTCAACATTGTTTTTTTGTCATTAAACATCGAAACCTTCAAAATAAAGCTTATTCCATGATTTCTACCGAAAAACCGACGGATTTACATTAAGGATCGGACTAATAATACTAATATAGTTATTCTAAAGATGGGAAAACTACTACTCTGGTTAGCAAACCAGAGTAGTTTTCCCGTCTTTATTTGCTTCAATGTGTGCCATGGTCTGCCATCAATATAAAATCCGTAATGATTAGAGTACAGCAATATTGCTCCAGTGGAAATGAAATGATCAATGCTTTTAGAACATTTAGTCGACGAATGTTAGTGTAATGTAATTTAGTTTGTTACAGCCAACAATGTACCTATCATAAAAGCTGATTTAAAACTAGAGCAGCTCTGATTTTCTCCAATTTTATGGTGACGAAAACAGAATGGATAGTTTCTAGGTAATAGAAATCATTGCAGTAAATTAAATAACCCAAAAAAGACAGTTGTATTGTAACGTGTAAAACTAGAAAGATGCAAACTTGTTTTTTGTTGGATTTCATTCAAATTCACTGAACACACACTCCTTGTTATAAAGTCTTAACAGCATGTATAGGATTGTTCCCAAACCGAAGAACTCAAAGACAATAATGAATGACCAAGATCCCATAAAAGCCCCGGAACTTAACTTACAAACTCTAGATTAAATGCTTGTCAATATGCTAAATAAATTAGATTCAACCGTGCCAATATGTTACTATTTTAAACCATTCAAGTTATGAAAAAAGGGGGTCATCCACTACAGAATTGCAAGGAATGTTTTTTTGATGGTTTATGGCACAGGCACTTGAAGGGATTAAAATAAAACTTCTTACTACCGCTTGACTATATATTATAAATCCCTTCAATAGTCAAGCAGTAGTAAGAAGTTTTATTTTAATCCCTTCAAGTGCCTGTGGTTTATGGTAGTGTTATGTACTGAATGACATCCTAAAAGTTTACCGAAATGGGTGTACCGGATATTCCCATTGGTGTTAATTGGTGCCTTACACCATTTTCAGGTCCCCCTACCCCGCAACCGAAAACCCAAATTTACGAATAGGCATAACTCTGCGCTGCCTCGTCATACTATAGTAAATTTGGTGTCTGAATTAATGTTTTGGGGTCAATATTTCATTTGAAGATATTCTCAGGGGTGTTAAGTTAACAAGTCCCTTATACCACGTCATCAAATATTGGCATATTTACTATGTATATGTTTTGGAAGGATACCCCTCTCCATAACCTGCTGTCGTGAACAATGAGTGAAGCAAGACAAGCAAATAGATGTGTAAGGAATCATTAAATGAAATGAAATGGGGTTTAACGTCCTACTGTTTTGCTCCTAATGTTTGGGCTAATGAAGACGGGTAAGGAATTTGCGTTTATTTAGCTGTTGCCTACTTTATAACATCCCAAAAGTTTACCATATTTCGGACACCGGAATGCGGTAAAAATTGGTAAAATCCTGAACGGTTGGTGACCAATATCTATTACGAACATATTGGGATATGCTATCCAAGTGTCAAATGGCCCCATTAAAAGTAGTATGGTGTCATATAGCCATATAAACTTTTGGCTTTATTCCCTATAAATGTATATTGAGGTTATCAGAACATTATAAATTGACTGGTCTGTTTAGGGTAAAGACAATTACCACCTCGATAATAGCCCTTTGTGCATTTGTTTGAGGTAACAGCTTTGAAGTTTCCCTACACTACTTGCTTGTATGCCCCCTTACACTGATCGTAAGAAAACTGACAATCTCAACCTTGCAATACAATTGTAAAACTATCAGGTGTCTAATTGTATGGCTAAACCAAACACAGTTCATGAGGTGGGCAGAATCATTAAATGCAAATTATTTTTTACTTCTGTTTATGCTTATTCAGATATAGCTACTGGTATACATTTTAAGACCATCAGAAATGAAATTAAAACAATAAATGTGTGAACTGGGGAGGAAGACGATAGTGAATACAACAATTGCTGTAAGTGTTACCCTTACCATGTAATGAATAAAACTGACAGTTATAACCACCTGTGAGAGGAGATTCGCCATGAACATCTTTAACAAAATAATATGAATGAAGGCACTATATGGAAATCTTGGTGTATGTTTATATACGGCAGTTTATTTCAGATAATATCTATAACAAATAAATGGAGTGTGATATATAAAGAAAATGATAACAGCACTTGCTGATAGTCTTGTAACAAATACACCATAAATACATAACAAAATAAAATATAGACCTATTTATATCAAATAAGCAATAGCAGATTTAAGACCTTTGTTTATTGAGTTTTTTCTTTTCATTATTTCTAAACTATCAAAATATGTGTACCTTTCATTTCAACTATGTTCATCACTAGACAATATTTTAGTAACCCTTAAACCAGCTACTAAACACAGATTAGCTGTAGAAAGAAATGGCATATCTGTGACTACAAGGGAAATCAAATATTTAGAATATATTCTTTATGCCCTGTGGAGGTTAGCCATTATCTACTTCATTATGTTTTTGATTCTAGGCATCTAAACTAAATTGTAGGTACATTTTTTGCACTACATGAAAATTTCCTCAGATTGAGTGACACTTTTCTTGGAAAAAATGACATCATTGTGTATTTGATGTGACATATTCTTATTGGATCAATATGTGCAAGATACATCAGTTTCCAAAAATCAACAGGTATTCTAAAGTTTCCAGCAATATAGTGATGAACAATCATAAAGTTTATGACTTAATTGACACTTACGAGATATTCATAATTAAGTTCAGTTAATCTGTTCCCAGTATCTGTTATTCAAAATGAAAACAGTTAAAAATCATAAAACTAAATTCTATTTCTTTCATAAATCCAGATAAAATAGTATGTATGATTCTTGTAAACTTCCATGTAAAGGTAATTTAAAGCTGTGTAAAAATATCTTGTAATATGATCATGTAATGTACTGTTTAGCCAAAGCTCGCAGAAATTTAGTTTTTCTAGTAAGAACAGCTCTTCTTAACGTTTCTTCTGGATTACTACAATTCACATCCATCTGTCCAATAGCTTTCATCTATAATTAATAAATGCATCCATAATTAAACAAACTAAATACAAATAAAACGAAGCATGTTATTTTTAAAAGTGTGACAGAGAAATGGGTTTAAAATTCACTTTAAACTATGTCATTTTGGGAATAACATATGGTACAATTTATCAGCGGGAGGAAACTGAGAAACCTGGAGGAAACCCACAAGGTTTAGCAAGCGACCACAGTTTTTATGATGTAAAGTGCATGCGATTGATCATTTGGCTGCCCTCACCCCATTTTCAAAATTACAAAGACCATCATATGAAAACAAATTAATTCAATTAATAAATAAATAACATATTTAAATAGTGGATTAGTGAACACAGTTTTCTGGTTACAGAAAGAATATGGTTTTAGCTAGATAATTTATTTATATAATAACTAAAAAAGGTATTGACATATTACTTACTGCTGCTTTACACTTCTCTAGTTCACCGCGTTTAGTATGTAAATCTAACATTATGTTAAAGAAAAATACTGTCATATATGTTACATTAGAAAAACTAACTACACTTGAACAAAATATAATAAAATACAAATATTTCATGTCTGTCGTTGTTGTTCCAGTTATGACAATACTTGGGAACAGATAAAATTTTATCAAACACCATAGACCCATACAAACTAGACTTGCTACAGTTTTAACCTTTTCATAATAGACAAAAAATACAGAATGTCAAGTTGAAAACAGGATGTTTTGTACAGGAATTAATATAATCTAGTCTAGTTATAATAGATAATAAGGATACGAGTAAGATGTTCTAATATAGCCATATCCCATATACAGGGATAATAGGCATCCATAGCATCATAACATGTTCTTTCTTGTAGTGCTTTAAAGGCTGTACCATAATCTACTTCATCTAAAAACCCACATAATACAGCTACCTGTAATAACATAAACATCAAGTTTATTTATTTTTTCTGTGCTACATTATAAGACTATAATAAGGATGTGTATCATTATATTATAGAGTAATAAATTCAGTTAAATATTGTTTAAAGATTATTACAGATTTCTGCTATATAATATGGATAAAGAACACAACGACACCAGTATCTAATCTATTTAATTTTACGACATTTACAAAAAATATAAATTACTAAAATATTCAGTTTCACTCAAAGAGACGATGGGGGTGATGTGGGCATATAAATAACATATATTCGTGTTAAACTGTTTATAATTGACAAGGAATTAACTAACCTGTGTATGACATTGGAGATATGAACAACATTTAATCATCTTTCTATAAACCTATAAATAGAGAGAGAGAAATGGGGTTTAACATCCACTCGACACAAACTAGGTCATTTCGGGACTAACACATGGTTCAATTTTATTTCAATACTTCACTTGCGCTTGTGGGTCTTTAGCAGTGGGAGGAAACCGGAGAACCCGGAGAAAACCCACGAGGTTGGACAGGCGACCCTACTCCTTGTCACGTACAACCGGAGAATTGAAACTCCGCCAGTTGACTCAATGACAGACCGTTTGATACAGCGGCCATCCAACCTCCCTAAACCTATAAATACAATATATATTCTTTAATGGCTACACACAATTAACCCTAAAGTTTTAAAAAGGATTTTTATTTATCAATCAGAACAATGGTCTATTATCATTATCAAGCACAATGATATGATATACACAATGTAGTTAACAATGAAAATTATATATAACAAAGTAATGGTTTGGCTTACTATATAAACAATATAAACTAGATCATAGACTAGAGTAAGAAACATAACAAGTTAGTATGTTATATTAGTTATCAAGAGGTAGCAGAGGTGGGAACAAGTCGTGGGACCTCGAGACCGTGTCAAGTCCCAAGTCGCTGACTACAGTACCAAGTCAAGTCCCAAGTATTTCCATAGCCCAAATCGTGTTCATGTCACTAGATCATCAAATGAGTCAACAAATCATTCTGCAAGACAAATGAGGCCATGGCAAATAAGGCAAGTTAGAGTTATATCCAGCGCAAGTTGTCAAGACCACCTAGTCCGAGTCGCGTCTTGATAAATATTTCAAGTTGAGTTGCAAGTCAGATCTTTGATGTGACCTAAGTTGAATTCTAGAATGAGTTGCGGGACACAAGTTCCCATCTCTGAGTAGTAGAAGATATTTGTATTAACTACAAGTTCTATATTTCTTGTTTGTCGATACGTAAGAAAATCCATTTAGTAAAATAAAAGTTTAGAATGATATTTGTTGTTAAATGTAAAGACTGCTGGTACCTGATCATCATAAAGTGTTTTAGGTACAGGACTAGAGAAATAATCTGTTGCTACAACACCACATTCTAAGTAATACTTCATAGCTGATGAATACTGATTATGTGCTGTAAATTAAACAAATATATAAATATGGAGCAAAACACAATTGTCAGGTATGTTATGTATTGGACTTGTCCGTTAAAACAAAGTTGTATGAAGCATATCCTGCCAAATACATGATATTCATGACTAATATCTTAGAATCCTAGTTGCTATTATAAAGTTGAAGATATAATCCTAATCAATTGAAATAAATTGAAATGGGATTTAACATCCTACTTATCTACACCAACAAGGATAATGAGGACAACATACACCATGCTGTGCTATCAGGGAAATTTTGCCTGGACAGTGTCATTTCCACCTAATCTTTATCGAATTCCAACTACAAAATGTGTATGCCAACAAATACACAGGACTTCAGTTTTTTTTTTGTCCCATCAGAATAATTGTTCCTTCCCAAGATATTTAAACACTATAATAGTCATTTCAGATTTTAATCTTACCAAAATAAATATCTGCTTGTGTTCTAAGCCAGAATGGTTGTGTAGGATTAACTTCTAGGGAATGTTGCATTAGTTGTGTTAACACATCTGATATAGAACCACCATCAATAGCACTAGCACTATAAATACATAAATCACTAGCACTATAAATGCATAAATTACACTATTTAATCCTGTTATAGACAACATTAAAATTACAAATGGCATTAAAATATTGCTTAAAGTCAATGACCTTTTAGTAAATTGACATTCTGGAATACTACTTTATTATTATCACTTGGAATTTATTTAGAAAACCTAACTTCATCCTTAAGAAGAATAAATATCACCAGATCGAGGAATATCTATTGAAACCTAATTGACACCCTATTTTTACAGCATTCGTTTATGCGATAGATTTTACACAAACTGTTTTTCGGACAACCTCACCTTTAAGCCTCAACTACCTTATCTTTACTTCGTACATTTTTCTCCTGTGGTACTCTAACTACAGAAACTTTATTCATAGAGGTGACCAACAACCTTTCTATTTAACCTGAATACGATCTACCACCCATCATTATCACCGATTTCACGATCCACAAAGTGTTGAACAACCAGCTACGAAACTACTCCTTTGAATTCAATACTCCGCCAACCACGCAACCATGAGACCAATCGCAGCAAACTGTAGCAATATAGTCAGTAGATTCACATATATGTAGAATTGTACTTAAGTCAACTTAGTGAGTAACTGACAGTTGACACATAAAAAGAGTTACAGAACCAAAACATAGCTGGCTGTATGTGTCAATAAAATACCACCAGATTACACGCGAGTGGAATTATTCTAATTGCATCAGAAATTACACAAGTTCAGGGCCATGAACACACTTTGTTATGCGTGATATACGTGAGTGCTATATAAGATATCTATTTGAAACTTTCAAGCAGACTTCCATTAGATTCCAGAGAGGTTCCATGTGAGTTCCTAGACAGCCGCGAGGCTGGCTAGGATGGAGAAATGGTTTTAGCTTGTATTGTTATGTTATATATTATGCTTATATATATACGGTAATCCTTATAAGACATATAGAAATAGATTTCACCAAAAAATAACACACTAATATGGATATACTACTTCTGAATTTTATTAACATGCTACGTTTCAATACTCATACAGGTATCGTTATCAAACAAATAATGATTAATTAACGTTCGTTCGTTCTTGGTGTTTAACGTCTGCTTCCACATAAGTGATATCGCAGACAAGACATAGGAGAGTCGAAGCTGATTCCTGTTTTTTAGAATATGATTTTGCAATCTTTCCATTTGGACTTAGGCCATGGATTTGGTTTAGTGGGAAGTTCTTCCCTTTATTTAATATAAAACATATCGTTTGGTAGATGATTACGTCTGCTTCTGGATTGGTAGATGTCATCGTTTTAGTGTTTAGGTGGAGGCCCCTCTTATCGTGGCCTCCCCTTACTCCACTATCCCACTCTCTGGGTTTGGTATCAGTTTTATTTGCGGAATAGTGTTTAGGTGCCGAGTTCGTCTGACCGTAAACCCCCCTTACTCCACTATCCTGCTAGTTTGGTAGATGTCATCTTTGTGGGGTTTATGTTTCGTTCGTTCGTTCTTGGTGTTTAACGTCTGCTTCCACATAAGTGATATCGCAGACAAGACATAGGAGAGCCGAAGCTGATTCCTGTTTTTTAGAATATGATTTTGCAATCTTTCCATTTGGACTTAGGCCATGGATTTGGTTTAGTGGGAAGTTCTTCCCTTTATTTAATATAAAACATATCGTTTGGTGGAGGATTACGTCTGCTTCTGGATTGGTAGATGTCATCGTTTTAGTGTTTAGGTGGAGGCCCGTCTTATCGTGGCCCCCCCTTACTCCACTATCCCACTCTCTGGGTTTGGTATCAGTTTTATTTGCGGAATAGTGTTTAGGTGCCGAGTTCGTCTGACCGTAACTCCCCCTTACTCCACTATCCTGCTAGTTTGGTAGATGTCATCTTTGTGGGGTTTGTGTTTAGGTTTGTGTTTAGGTGCCAGGCCCGTCTTATCATGACCTCCCCTTACTCCACTATCCCATTCTGTAGGTTTGGTGTCTGTTTTTGGTGGAATAGTGTTTAGATGCCAAGTCCGTCTGATCGTGATGATTAATTAACAAAAACGTAGTGCAATATATAGATAACTACTTTGGAAGCCATTTACTTGTGGTCATTGGTTTATTGTATAAATTGTTTTAAATTGTGATCTTTGATCTGGTTAATTAATTGTTGTTGTTGTGTTGTCTGCTAAATGGTTTCTACCTGTTGTCTACATATTATATCTTTCATCTTGTTAATTATTTTGTTGTTATTGTTGTATCTGCTAAATGGCTTCCAAAGTAGTTATCTATATATTGCACTACGTTTTTGTTAATTAATCATTATTTGCTTGATAACGATACCTGTATGAGTATTGAAACGTAGCATGTTAATAAAATTCAGAAGTAGTATATCCATGTTAGTGTGTTATTTTTTATATATACGGTATATAAAATGTAGAATCGAACTGTTGCATTGTTATTCTTGGTAAGACAAAAGTCTTAAGAAAACAGTAAGAAGTAAATACACTACGTGAAGCAGAAGTAAAAACAGCTAGAGACAAATTCTAGACGATCACAAGGCTACAGAAATATGTAGTAAAAAAAGATGCATGGTTCGTACGTAGGATGTGGTGACCGATTTTTAGGATCACCCACTCTCCACGTCAGACAAAAGACCTATGGTGCTACAAAACTCCATACGTATTCTAGACTTTCATTCCACTTCTGCAAGTTTGAAGACTAGGAGGTTCCGGATGACCGAGACTATACGTATTCATCTCACATGAAATTACCGCCATGTTGTTACGACAACCTGACAACAGTCACCTGATGATAGTCGGCGTTTAATATTTAATGGGGGGAGGGGGTTCAAATAATTAAATTGTGTCTGTACATCCCATTTTTTCATATTTTATTCTTATTCTATTCATATTTATCATTATTTCTAATTTTTTTAAACTCTTAATTTTCCAATATTGTATATATATATATATATATTTCACCTATCTCTTTAGTTTATTTTTTACCACGGGAAACAACACCTGAATCGATTAAATTTAACAATCCTTCTTTTTTAACAATCTTTCATTTGTACATCAATAAATTTTAAAATCCTTTGACGTCACCACCTTTGTTGTATATAAAGGCGCCACAGGATTATTAATTGTTATATTTGATAAAGGGTATCTCAACCCAAAACGTTATATTGATTAAAAATCTTCACTTCTACCAAGTCTGTTGTGCTACTGATGAGCGGGGATTCTTTAATTATTTTATTATCATTTACTTAACTCTTTTCCTTAATATAGATCATTTTTAAATTCAATATTTTTCTCTATATAAATAGATTAAACTGACTTACTTTAGAATAGCTGTTGGCCACAGAGTTAAATATTCACTTGTAATTTCTGTGGTAACATCATCCTATAAAATAAATACCCATATGTTTTAATCTTCTTGACCAAGATAATCAAATACATTTTCAGATGTCAAAGTCAAAGTAATACTGAACAAAAATAAATAATTGTACTTGCCTTTAAAACTGTAAATAGTTTAGTAAACATGGACAGAAGTAATGATAGAATAGTGGGCTCCTATAGAAAATATATATATCATATTAATACATTTCAAAATTGGTACTATATGTATATTAAAACATTTCATCCACATTTATGTGGACATACACTTGTATTGTTTGATTACAATCTAGAAAACTGTTTAAGAATTCTCTGAATAATTACAATATTTCATCCTAATTTCCGTTGTCCACTTAGCAAATTTTTCATGTAAAGCGAAGTTTTCGCTGTGATGCTTGCAAATTTCATCGTTTGGATGCAGTTGAAAAACAGACTAAAAGTAGGAATCACATCAAACAATTCATCACCTAGAATCAGAGGTTATTCAGACATAGCAAAAGAAAATTTGTTTTTGTTGCCAATGATCATAACGATCAAGGGCGAACGCACATTCCTTTGTAGTCAACGGGAGCATTTACAAGACACTAAAAACTGATCAAGGGTAATAACTCATATGATCCTAAATCTTCATGATTACAGATCCTGAGGGCCAATGATAAGTTCTCCCCCAATTCGATATAATGGGGACTACAAGCATTCACTAATAACCCATGGAGTTCTTCCTAGTGCTAACGTTTGTTATAAAAAACACATACCGGTAATCAAATGACAACTGTTCGAGTAATTTAAAGATCAACATCTCATGAACATAAACATTGTGTATAAATTTTAAATTAATCAGGTAATAACTCTTGCCTCTCGGGGTCCACAAGAGTTTCAAATTGATTAAGGGCGGTAACTCTTTCAGTAATGATTAGAAATTGTTTAAAACCAATAGCTTCCGTTTATGAGACAATATACAACCACGTTTCAATGTGGGTAGACAAAAATTAATTACCTTTAATTTTTTAAATAAACTCATAAAGTTATCTCTAGATAATAAACCACTATTAGATTCTCTCTGCATGGTACTATCTCTACCACTAGATGTTCTCTTATGTTGTGTTATATTAGTAAATATATTCAACACTGAAAATATAAACAAAACTATCGTTAAAACACTACCAGTATAATAATCTATGCAGGATAACTGCACATGACAATAAAAACAATAAAGGCGGTACAAGAAGAGATTGCACACCAACTCAGAAAAGCTATAAGATTGAGATGGGGGATTTTTGTTTATTAAAATGATGTTTTAATGAATTTATTTAGGATAAAATATTCAATGTACGCGCAAAAGAAATGATGCATTCCCAAAAAGTATTAGTCTAATGCAATATATGATTAAGGTTCATGATATTTAAGATTAAAAAGTAATTACCCGCTTCCCATAATTCTCTGGCAGTGATTCTAGCAGTTTTTATATTTTGTAATTCTTTACAAGTACATGACAGCAGACGACTCAACTATAAATAAAATAATTTTCTGATTGGAACTCTGATGAAGAATAATAATAACAAAATACTAAACAAATAAAAGATATTAGTATAAAACAATTATGATTTTCAACTAGAACTGCGATGCAGTGATGACGGGTTCCACTGGTACCACGTTATTCTTCAACTAACGTCACTACCCAAAACAATGAAAAGGTTAAACAGATTTCCACATTTGCATTGCAGACGTGTTTTAAAATGGACGCAGAATTAGCCTTTAAATCCAACAATGTCATTTCCATTTATACAACGAAGTCTCGACACAATGACATCACTTCCGTTATCAACAAAATATTTAAATTGGATATTAGAGAAATTTAAAATTTAAACAAAATTAACCCTTTAAAAAGCTTTATTAAAATGCGAAAAATCTTAAAAAGTGATACTGACAAAACTGGTTATTTTTCGGCAAGGGAAGACGTTAGAAACAATTTTTTTCCAAAATGACATTACTTTCGGTGATAATGAAAATCTTGAATTTGTGTAATAAAATCGTAAATGGCATAAGGCATCACAGGGGGAAAATTTTATGATAATCGCTTAAAAATTGAAACTTTTATTGACCCAAAACCTTGAAAAGCGACTTGTAGATAATTGTCCATTTCTCCGCAACGGAACAAGTTAGAAACAATTTTTTGATATCTATAAGGCCATATCCGTTTATTTTATATGTTGATTTAAACTAAAAGTTAACATTTTCAATACTAGCAAGTAATTACCAATTTAAAAAAATATGCATCAAATGGTATCACTTTTATGGAAATCCATTAATAATTGACTCTTTTACAGGCAAAATAACGTTGCCCATTTCTTGGCAACTGCTCATATTACAAACTACTTTCGGCATAGATTGTCTTCGTATAGATATATGCTACAAGTTTATGAACATTACATAGAAATATTTTAAAATATGAAAATCCTGAATGGGTTGTAAATTGCATAATTTTACACCCTTTAAATCGAAACGGCGCAAATACAAAACCGAAATTAAAAAAAAACGAGTCAGAGATTGCGCCTGTAGTAGGGGCATTCATCTTGATCTCGCAGATTTCTAAAAATTAATATTTACTTGCGAAAAGGCGTTCCGAACTGTCAAAATTGTAGATTTTGGCAAAATTACATCACTTTCGGTGCCGACAGAAAACTTTATCGTTAACGGCTAGCGCAAAGTACTAAGAGAAGTTTTTTTCATATTTTTGCTCAAGTCCGAAGACCCTTTAATCCTGTCGGAATACCATCAAAAAATATTCATAAATAAAAAAAAATTTTGTAAAAATTTAAATTTTGAAAATTCGGCGCCTAATATCTGCGAAGATTCGTAGAAAAATCAAAAATCTAAACTACTGGAGCTATGTGCTCTGTCTCAGGCTATGTCAAAATGTATCAAATGCTAAAATCCAACAATATTATGGCAATATTTCAAAAAACAACAACTTCGGCGATTTCAGACATTTCGCATTGTCGCAGAACGTTTAAAATAGCTTTAATCTCTAAGTCACACCCACTTTCCCATTTAAACCAAAGACATCGAATTAATCCAACAAGTAGTTTCTGAGAAATGCTCAAGTGGAGAAAAAAAAAATAATAAGAAGAAGAATTTTTACAAAAACCCTAATTAAACTGTAATTAATCCTTATAGATTATTGAATATATACCTCTATATATCCATTTCTTGTATTTTCCATACTTGTAAGATAGTCCCAGTCTCGGATGTTCAGAAGAAAACCAGTACAATGTTCTAAAACTTCTGAGCTTGGCTGAATATCTGAATGATTTAATAATCATATTGTTATAGTATTTTATCCACATCTTAATGATACAAAAACACCCTCAATCATCAGTTTAACATATTAAAAAGGGAGACAACACCATGGAGAGCAAATTATCTCCCTTTACTTTTTGGCTAGCTATCAAATTCTGTTTTTAACCTGTAACAAGGATTTAGTTTAGACACAGCTGTTAGAACAAAATGGATGGAGATGGACAGGATTTAAACCAATCTATTTCTTTAAATCATTAGAGTATACAAATAGAAATGCAATCTTACCTTGAGCTAGTCTAACACTAGTAAGACAGGTTTTAGTTTTTTTGTTTAAATCTGGTAAAGACGAGCCTTCACCAAATGTTTCATTTAAATAAAACTGTTTAAGATCAGTTAGTAGTATCTGCCATCGTATGTGTTTTGATAATGTGTAGGATATATCAGCTACAGCTGTGTCAGCTACTGTTAATAACTGTCGTGCTCTTTCAAATATCTAAAAAAAAACCAAAAAAAAAAACCAAACACACATGAAATGCAATTGTTGTTTACTGTCGGGCAACATTTCTGAATGGTCATCATTAATCCAGATATTGTTTACATGTGTGTATATATATATATATACCACTTACCTTTTAAAAAACAGTAAACACCAATGAAACAGCTTAATATCATTTGAATTAATCAGTAGATTTCTATAACATAGTATCATTTGAATTAAATAGGAAAGTTTTCTATAATGTAGTAGATTTCTATAACTGAGTATCATTTGAAGTAATCAGCGATTTCTATAACATAGTCTTATTTGAATTAATCAGCAGTTTTCTATGAGGTTTGTGTAAGAATCATACCAACTGTACTAACCCTTAGATCTGTACAATGTCTAGCTTTACCGATCAATACAAATACATATGCCTGTTTAGGATTCATCTGTGGTGAGTAGATATCAAGATGTTTCTTTATTTCTCTAGGAACTTTCCACTTCAAAAAAAAAGAGAATAAATTTATCTATAGAAAAAGTAACATGTTTATTTGTTTCTTTTATCTAAGAAAATATAAACAAGTAGCTTTTAATATGAAAATAAACAAGCCAACAGTGAGGCTGATGTCCCTTGCCGAAATCCTAAAATAAATAGATGACACATATTAATTAATTGCACATTGTACTTTTTCAAAAGTATCATGCAATCAAACTGATTATCAACTATACACTAAGTTTCATCACTCTTTATCAGACAGAATAAAAGTCAAAGAAATTGCTTAGCTCATGACATTCACCTAATGTTTAAACATTCTATCTCAATTAAAAGCAGTTGTTATGTTCCAAAGTCTTGACCAATCAAATTGCTTAACGCTCCTTAGCCTAAGCAGAAAATTCTCAGCATCGAACTTAGTCAAGGTAATGATATAATGAATCTATACTCAGAGTTTCAACGCTCTCACTTAATTATAACCAAAGTTATCGTGACAGACAGACGAACCCATTTTAATAGTCCCCTGCTTTCTTCGAAAGGCGGGGGATAAAAAAGGTAAAAACTGCAAGGAATAATCCAAGATCCCAATCTATAATATTAATTTGCCATTAATTTGATACCTCCTGGATTTGTGATACTAAATTTTCAATAGAGACACAGGCACCCTGAACAGAGGTATGGGTTGAAGCCACACTATTTTATTTATTACTGACCTTATCCATATCCTATTCAATTTCAAAGTTCAACAGACAAATTTAAGTTCTCAGATAAATTAAAGATGCATTATGTAAGATTTAGACAAAGGGTTGACAGTTCTCGCTATAATAGTTAAAAAATAGATATGTTGAAAATTTCAGTCAAATTACTTCATTCTGAGCAGATTTATAGTCGTTTGCAGATGAATTGTCATTGCTGGTGTTTTTACGATAATAATAATGTTTTTACGATTATCCATTTTTAAATTAAATCATTAACTGCTAATCGTATTCAAATTTGTTGAAAATCAAAATCATCCAAAGTTCCAAAAAGTTGACTATGGGCCTGGCACAGGTTTCTTAATCCATTTTGAAGCGAAGCGGCCAAAATTGGGTCAAATGAGGTCCTGGTAGGAAATGGGTTAATTATAAGCTTCCATTCCCTTTAATATAACCAGACTTCAATTCAACAAAAATAATTCTTGGTAATTTGTTATGGAGAATGTCGTATTCTAATGAATGTGATTACCACAAAAATGACGACAATTCACATACCAGCTTTAAGTTCAGGGCAGTAATATTCCCGAATAAATTACTGTCTTTGTAACTTGCAAAAGTTTTTATTCATTTGTCGATGATGGACAAATGACACAATTGTAACGTGACTACCATAATTGAAATTGCTTTAAAATAAAATTCTATACGATTATGATATAGCCTTCAGTAAAAACGACAATATTTTTATAATTAAACCTTTGTCAGAATGTGTATAGAATTTAAAAAATCATAATGGTAAACGCTATTTAAAACTGGTTTATTGACCTAATTCCAACCGATATGTCACCTGTCATTAGAATTCCGCATTGGAGATTCTATTGGGAAAATATATTATTAATGACTGTTTCTCGGTGTATTTGGTGTTCTATGGGAGGATTATATTCAATGAAGTCATAATTTTACCTAACAAATGGTCAGTGAATCCATCAATGTATGATCCAGTTATTATTTTAATATCTACCGGTACCCGGAATTCATACTGAGCATGGAAGACGCTCGATTGGCAAATCATGCCAAGATCATCTTCTTTCACCACGTGGGCTATTTTTACAAAAGCAGCTTACTGAACCTGTTATGAATAATCAGCAAGCTTGTTTTATCCAAATTACCGTTAAATGTGCTAATTAGGCTACTCAGATTATGAACCACCATGGCCGATTCTCTGCAAGGTATGACTGTTGTTGTAGTCGACAAGCAAGTTGATTGGCTTCTTAATTAATAAGTAATAATCAACCGCTGTAATTTAGCTGAAAGTAGACTGATTTATGATACCACAGTGGCTGGTTCAATGTTCTACCTATCGGCTAGATTAAACATCAATCGGCTAAAGCCAACAAAAAACAGCCGATAAAGAACACTGGCCTGGCATGTAAATAAATGTCTAATTAAAGATACATTCTGTAAGATTTAGATAAAGAGCTGACCATTCTTGCTATAATAGCTCAAAAATAGTTAATGTAAAATGAAAATATTGAAAATTTCATTCAAATTACTTCATTCTGAGCCAAGTTATCACTGTTTGTAGTTTTGACACGATGTGTGCATTGTGGTAACCAGGGCACTGGTATATTCGAGACTTAGTCTTGTTTTCCCATAATTAAATTTCTAAATGGCGAACCGTTCTAATCTAGTTATTATGGTCTTGTTTTGTTAATAAATGTCTAATTAACAATTTATATAACATTTCAGGCCTAAAGAAACACCTGCAATAGGCATATTTAGTTCTTGCGCAATGTATTTTTAATGATTTATATAACATCTGAGGCCAAACGAAAGATCTGCATTAGGCAGATTTTGTTCTTGAATAATTCATCTTTAAATAAGATTCTCAATAATTACCTTATCATTTAGGTGAATGACTTGGTTTGGAGTCATATTAAATTTCTGACAAAGTTCTAATACCAATTCTTGTATACAATCAGGATCATACACAGTTAATAACTTGCCTTCAGAATTACTAATATCATATGTTGGTTCTGAAAAATACAAATTATTGTCAAAACTTCTACTTTCCATAGGGAACAGCTTCTATAATAACTTATTGGATCATTATGCAGGTTTAGTTGGAGTCTCTAAATTACATGTACTCGTTACATCTTTTTTTCATGTTCAATACATTCAGGCAATGAATGGAAGAACAACAAGCCAACAGTGAGGCTGATGTCCCCTGCCGAAATCCCGAAATAAATAGATAACACATTAATTGATTGCACGTGTATCTTTTTCAAAAGTATCGAGCAATCAAACTGAGTTTCATCACTCTCTATCAGATAAAACAAAAGTCAAGGAAATTGCTTAGCTCTGCTTGCTTTAGTGGAAAATGTTAATCATTAAACTCAGTCAAGACATTCACCTAATGAACATCTAGTCTAAACATTCTACCTCAATTAAAACCAGAGTTGTTATTTTCCAAAGTCTCAACCAACCAAAATTCTTATTGCTCCTTAGCCTAAGCAGAAAATTCTCATCAAACTTAGTCAAGGTAATGATATAATGAATCTATACTCAGAGTTTTATAGCTCTCACTTACTTATAACCAAAGACCCAAAGTTATCGTGCCCAAAAGCATCAACCAATTAAATTGCTTATCTCTGCTTACCGTAAGCAGATAATTTTTATCCTCGAACTATTATCAAGGCATTCACCTAAGTTTGAACATTCTACCTCAATTAGAAGGAGAGTTATTGTGTTTCAAAGTCTCGACCAATCAAATTGCTTATCGCTCTGCTTACCCTAAGCAGAAAATGCTCATCTTCGAACTCCATCACGGCACTGATCGACCAAACAAATACCTACACCAATTTTGAACATTCTAGCTCAACTAGAAGGAGAGTTATTGTGTCCCAATAAATGCTCATCTTCGAACTCCATCAAGGTATTGACCTATTAATAAACACCTATACCAATTTTGAACATTCTAGCTCAGTTAGAAGGAGAGTTATTGCGTCCCAAAAAGTGTAACTGACAGACAGACAGATGGACAAACCCATTTTAATAAACTCCTGCTTTTTTTTTGAAAGGTGGGGGACAATAAAACATAACTGTAGAGGTGAGGGAGAGAAAAATGAGGCTCAAAACCATGCAACTTGACTCAATGACAGACCGTATGATCTAATGTGCATGCACAACTGTTGATATGAAAGTGATCAATGATTCTTGCAGGTTATATGCCGATATTTCACTGATTTGAAGAGAAATGTCCATGTACTGCTAATGATGTACAGAGATAGTGCATTACATCTAACAGCTGGTAAAGTACAGAGTGTGTACTTATAGTATATTACAGCTGGTAATGTATTGAATATGTAGTTATAGTGTTTACCTCTAACAGCTGGTAATGTTATATCTTCTTCTTCCATGTCTATATCTTGTAAATATAATTGTTCAGGATTATCAACAACGGCCATTTCACCCCATTCATCAGCATCCAAATATGATGCTATCTCACTCTTTAATACAGCATGTATAAAACCACTCTCTTGTGGTACTAATTCAGCTATATGCCTACAAATACAACATGCATATTAATCCATTTCTATGAGAAATTCACCAGATTATTTTCATGTAAGCTAATACAGTTTTCTAATATCTTTGATTAGACTATTTTACCAATCCCTGTTACTTAATTTAGTCAAATAGATGTGAAATGAATAAAGAAAAGAACTTACCACACAAAACATTTTAAATTAGATCGTTGAGAAAATGAGGCACTTTTGATTGCGTCAGATAAAACCTATAAATGTTAAAATAAATTGTTTTAGGACATATGAAAGAAATTGCTAAAGGTAAACAAACAGATTTTATAATTGGCTTCAGAACAAATAATTAATATTTGGTTAAAACTGAAATAGTAACAAATTCATTTGTATCTTTTAATAGACCTATGTTTGATGGAGTCTATCAAAAATTATGTGTATGGTTTAGAGGCTATCAATACTGACCTTTGAAGGTCACGGTTTCTACAAAACAACTGTTACCGAAGTCAAATGTGTCATATTTGTTTTGGGTTGGTTTTTTTTGGGGGGGGGGGGGGGGATGTAAGTAATTGGTCGTGCCTGGAGTACAATATATGCTTGGCATCAACCCTGGGTATATATAATTCAAATATCCTACCTGTACGAGGAACTGAACAAGTATTGGATTGGCTGCTTCTAAAGCTTCTACTATAGGTGATACTAGAGCTTTACCTTCTAATACACCTCGTACAACATTACATATACATACTTGACTAAATAACTCATTATAACTGTAAAACATATACATCAAAGAAATAACTCATTATAACTGTACTGTACACTGTACAATATGCCAATATTTAAAAACATAATTCATTCAAAGGTTATAACAAGGTTCAAGATGTGTATAATAATCAAAAGTCTTAGTTTTGCCAGAGGGGAAATGTGGATTCGCGTACAACAAACATTAAATAGGTCATTTTTTATTTCAAAATTTTGCATGAATGCAAATCAGAGTACCATGAGTAAACCCACCCGGTCAGATAGGCAACATCAGTCTTTGTTATGTAGAAGCATTTGATCGACAATAACAACATACAAATTTTAAAAAACTCTATAGATATGTGACTCTCTCATTTATTTTTTTATTTTAATTTAAGAAATAAGACCTGTTTTAACAAAATAGGACTACATTTCAGTTTGTATTGTTGTAATTATTTGAATATTTGAATTTTCTAGTATGCAAAGTGGCTTACATGTAGAATGGCCATTTTTAATGTCCATCAAATAAAGACTAGTTAAAACATAGCTTGGAAATAATAATACCAACCTTTTTCCTTGTTTTGAGATATCATCCTCCAAATTACTTCTATAAACTAAACTTAATTCTTGTTTTATATTATCTTCTAATAATATATTAACTATGTCCTGTAATAACAATATTACTTATTAATTAACCTATATAGATGCATTGTCTTGTAATTTGTTCAAACAATTAACAGGAAAAATTACTTTGATATTTTTAATTTTAGGTGCCTATTTTATGTTTATTCTATGATTTGATGGCAGTGTTTATTTGTATCAAATTTTTTTTTATCAGTTTTTCACAATTATTTGACATTTTACATACTTTATAATTATTTTTTCTGGAGACTTCAACTTGTTCAAACAGAGTGGGTTGATGAGCATCCATTGTTATACCAAGTAAACTAGCACAACTTGTTAAATAACCTCTCAGTCTATCTACATCTAGTTTACAATATACTGGATCTTTTAACTTAAAAAAAAAACATTTGAAAAAAATCTTATCATTCTATCTACATCTAAAGTACAATATACAAGATTTTTTAACTAAAAAAACAAACCATCAAAAAAATAATCATTATCTCATCAATCTATATACATCTAATGTACAATATACTGGATCTCTTAAAACTAATCAAATACAGAAAACATCTTTAATCAACAGTAATTTAATTGTCTTTCGACAATTTTTAGACCCTAATTTTGGTTCTTTGTTTGGCTCCTCTATTTTTCTTGCATTGTTACCTGTGTATGCATTTTTTGTGCTTGTTTAAACATCTCGAAAGCTTCTGTATAGACTGATTGATGAAAATATACCACACCCAAATCAAACGACAACTGAAAAACATACATTATTATCATTATTTACATAAAAACCAAAAGTGATAACAGATAACATTATATCTGAACAAGATGCAAGTTTTTACCTGTTTTATAATGGTACGTCTATTGTTTTGGGTACTGTACAACTTCTTTGACACCTTATCGTAGCTATCATTATCCTTACCCAGTATGGCTGGATAGAGTTGGATTTTATTTGTTGGTAAATTATGAACTGCTCTGTCTCAATGTTTAATAATATTGCTAATATCGAGGCTCAACATACTGAATTAGTTAAGTCAATATATTCAGGACATGTTCACCAATATTGGCAAAAGCCTGAGAGCAAATATTACCAATCGGACATCAACATATGGTGAATTAAACTCAAAATTTGTAAAAAGAATTGCATAGTCAAAATTTGGTGCATAAACTGCAATGCTTCTCCTGGGCCTCAATAGCAATCATCAAGACCTGATAATTCGTGTGAAACACTTGTGTGATTATTCGATAATTTTTCATTTGAGATGCGACACACAGCCAACCATTTCAACTTTTTAACATCCCAGTGTTGTGTGAACTTTATCACTAATGGTTTATTAACTATTTGATAATAACTACATTATGCTGCCTAAATTATGATTTAGATCAGTTTCAAAGCTTTAACATGATCGACCCTATACATGTATTATTGATTTGATATGATTGTCCATCCATTACTCTTTATGTTTAACTTACCTGACATTTGACCTCTTCACATGAAATCTTAGTACATTTGGACCAATCACATAATACTTCAGTACATTCATTAGGAATAATAAATACATCAGGAGTGGGCATGTCTAGTTTGGTTGAATGTTGTGAAAATTTCTGTAAAATTGTAATGGATGTCTGCTTTTCTTCTTTTAACTGAAATAGAAAGAAACAATGATCATGGCCAATATCAAGTGGACATATCAAGAGCACAAGCATGCCAAGCTTTATGTCAATCGTATTTGAATTGGCCGAGCAAAATGAGTAGCACTTGGGTATGAGTTCCTAGTCCCAAAAGTAATATTCACAAATCAATTCAATATTATGTTATCATCGTTGTTTTTTATTCTTTTGTCAGTTTATATGTCAGTATTTAATCTAATACGTGTAAAAATATTTACCTTGTTTATGACAACTTCATTAGCGGCTACCATTGCTGCTACTGGATCTATTTGACCAGGTCTGAAAATAAATCAATCAAATTAATATATAAATCCAATTTCTATTTTGAAAGGATTTTTTTTTTCCACTAAATCTCTTTAACTAGGGTATATCTTTACATGTCTGGACGGAAAATTAATCCTTAAAGAAGCAGCCAATATTAGGTGCCTGAAAGTATCTGCATAATCCTAAAGATATTTCCAATGCAAATACACTTTTTTTTTCCTTTTTAATGTGGATCAGTAAGGTTTTTTGAAATTTCAAACATCAAAAATTTACATATTTCATGGGTTCTTTGACATGCGGGAGCTGTGGTCACTAACCTGTTAAACTCCATTTTATTTCATTTTCTTTACATGTGAATAACGAGACACACTTTCCTGGTCCGCTTTGATGGTGGTAATTCTAACAAGTAATGGCTGGGCCACCTATCAGAACCAGAGACATTCTAGTTAAAAACCTAGTGCTTTGATCGTTGTACTAACAGAGCCCCCTCCCCCCCCCCCCCCACAAAACAGAAACTTACGGCACAGTAAAACTAAGCTTCAGAGGTCTGGAGGGAAAACTGTCATTAATAACACTTCTTACAACCCTAAAAATATCAATAAATTTAGATAACGTACAAAATCTACAACATTCGGAAACAATATCTGCTGTGATAAGAATATCATCCTAAATCTATTTTGTAAATTAAATAGGATAAAGAGTTAAAACATGGATATTCTATAATCAGGTATTTAAATAATAATACTTTGCTTCTAGGATATTATGTAAAATACTTACCATCTGTGATAAAGTTGAACAGCAAATCTGCCTAGATCTGATAATTTGGTTACATCTATATCTACATTCATAGCTGAATCAATACCACCCTCTATACATAAACTTAATAACTCTTTTAACAACGTTAACATCGTCGGTAACGGAACAGAATTTCTATTGGAAAAATTGGTGTAAATAAAAATATGTGAAAGAGGAGGTTACTGTACTCGTTTATTCATAATAATTGTTAGCATCCTGTGACCTTAGCTTAGGCCCGGGTAAAGAAGTGTAAGATTAAGAAAAAGGTTTCATTGGTGTTTATCCACTCAACATTAACTAGGTATTTTGGGGAAGAATTATTGTGTATTTTTATTTCAATAATGTGCTGGCACAGAGAGATTTTTTTAAAGTAGGAGACAAACTGTAGAAACACTAACTTGCAGAGTCGGATAAAAGTCATTTAAATTATATAACTTTAAACTTTAACAAGCAAATCTGAAATACTGGTATGTAAGGTTATTGGGACTTAATCTTTTGAGATGACTAAAAATCAGTTGATAAATTACAAGGAGGCAGTGTTTGGCAATGACACATGATTGGTCGAAATGGAGAAGAACCCATTAGATCCAGAAAAGTAAGACGTTAAACCCTTTTCCATGCCACTGACTATTTCCTGAAAGGATACTTCTATTGATAGCTAGGGACAGAACTGTATGTATATACAAAACGAATTCAAACCAGCAAAATTTCAGGGACTTACAATTCTCCACAGTCCCCAGCTGGTTTACTCGTTGCCGTCCTACCTACAGTCATTTGATTTGGTGCGTCCTATAGCAACCACTATACAACTGTAACAAAAAGAAGTTATCATTTTATTTTCACCTTGGGTCAAACTGGGCAAGGTTCCATTTCAAATGTGCAGCAACTCTCAATGCCAAGACTTTTAAACCTCTCACTTTTCTGGTTTCTTCTGTCGGACAATCTAGAATATTTTTACAAAAAACAACTTATAAACACATTTTAAATACAGTGTTTTTTTCTGAATGACAATATTAACAACAGAATTTTAACCAAAAAAATTCTTGATATTCCATGTACTCAGTGGCATGCACAAGTCCTTGGCAACGAAGAATTGAGGGAAATGTTACGGTCAAATCAAAATCTCCCTCATCATAGCACACTGCATGCAGGCCTCGTACTTGTCGCTTCAATGACTAACCTGCCACTCTCAATTATCCAATATCAATCACGTCACACATTATCCATAGGTACACAAACACTCACACAGACACCTCTTAAATTGTTTTGGTCCTTACGTATATACATTGATCATATGAATATGATATATCGTAATATGAAACAGCCTTATTTCCGGTAAAAATTCTTGCAAGTCCTCAAATCAGCTTTGGCTCAGCGACTAAGAGATTCATGCAATTCTCTAGTCTAAATTATAATCCGATTTATCGTGAATTTTGCCAAGTATCAAATATGTACCAAACTTATGTTTTAAATTGAATAGAAAGGCTAAGGACTCCGCCGTTGAGAAGTGTGTAAATTTAGATTCTAAAATATCAGTAATAAATTGAATATCACCTGTGCATAGCACTATATTTACCTTGTGTGATGGACAGGTAACACCCCCTGAAATTTTTTTTTCACATCCTGTCTACATTTACACTAAAACTTATATTTACGAGATACTCTTCTGACCTACTTATTTCATGGTGTCAAATTTTTCAGTAGATTATACATAGACTTTATTCATAGAAACTGTCTTCAATTTTTAAATGATTAAATACACCAGACAACAAGCCGTGCGCATTTGAGCAACAACAATATTTACCGTGGGTGGTGTGGTTGCCATTATATCCCCCTGTGGTTATGGTAGAATTAGGTCATATGACTTGGGGGGCTAATATATTTAGATATTTATGTGTAGATACTTAATAATGCTATAAACTAGTGTCGAACAGATGAAAACAGATGTAGACTGTGTCAAATTTATTGTTACAAAATTGGCTGCGATTTGACTTAAAACTTTGTGAGTAACTATACCGTACGAAATAGCTAAGTGTAAATACATGTAGTGCAAATAGTGTGGTATTTCCGTGGTTATTACGTGACGTAATAAAGGAGTATTGTGGTCTTAAGACAATTTACTGAACATCAAGGAAAATTTAGTTGCTACATGTCAGATTTAAAAATTGCCTATCGGCAAAAAGTAAACAAACAAACATTTTGAGCCGTGTACATGGCGTATCTTCATCTTTATTAGCCCAGTTGGATAAAAGTAGGACGATAAATCCCCATTTCATTTAATTACAAACGAACAAGATTCACAGTGATTACTAACCTGAATCTGGTGTTTTTCTTTCCACAGTAACATCTTTTACAATATTAGTTTCTAAAAAAATATACAGTTTACATTATCATACTAATTGTTATTAATACTTCATATAACTAGTAGTTGCCAGGCAAGATACACCCACATTTTACAAGAGATGGATAGAGAACAAGCTAAAAATAAAAGGGATTTTTCGTACCGGGCCATAATCCAGGAAGTTATAGTTTGAAATGGCCCGAGATATTTGGGATATAAAGATACATTTTAAGTTTCATCAAAATCAGATAAAAATTGTGACTTCTAGAGGATCCACAACCTTAGTATTACATACTTTTACACTATTTGTGTAAAAGGAGCGGCCATTTTGTCAGGAAGTTTTGGTTCGATTTTCACAAAATTGTAACGGTGATACATTTAAACGTTTTTTAAACTCGGATAAAAATTATGACCTCTAGAGATAGGGTAACGTCGTATAAAGTGCCTACGTGGGGTTAAGGGCCCACCATGATATGATTGGCAGTAGAGAGTCACGTGTAATGACACAGTAGGATTTTAATGTCAGCGTGTGTCCTCCAAAATGTATGTATTATGTGTGACTTTCACTTTTTCTTAATTTGTAGATGTGAGTTTAGCTGGGTAGCTATGAAAGATATAGAAATCAAATTTATATTGATAATAACATCAGTATTTAATGCTTGATTTGGTGCAAGCCTTGTTTATCTAACGTCCACAGAATATCGGCCATTTTAAAACTTGCGTGAGTGGTAGAAGTGGGGCAAATAGCCCATTACTGCTCGGGGCATAGCGCCTATATCTGGGCTACATACCCCACACTACAGGGCTGATTACCCCAAAATGGTGCAAACAATTTTTATACGCCCAGATAAAAATGTGGTCGTATATTGCCATCGCCCCCACCCGTTCGTCCATCGGTCCATCCCTATGTCGTCCACAATTGCTTGTGGAAAATTGCTTGTTGAGTTATGGCCCTTGATCACTTTGAAAATTCTTGTGGGTGCTCAAGAGGCTAAAGTTAATATCCAATTGACTTTATATTTATACACAGTGTTTAAGTTTATGTGATGAAGAATCCTATTGATTTTCAATAATTTCCGGTAATTACTGTCAGAGTTATGGTCCTTGATCAAATTGAAAAATTCTGTGGGCGCCCTAGGCTAAAGTTACTATTTAAACAGAATGAGACATGTATGAGATACAATACAATTAACACACAGGCAAAATTTAACACATTGCACCTTTAACCATTAAATAAAAATATGAAACTTGAGCTTGACCCAATATAACCCATTTAGTTGTTGAATGGACATTAAACCTCATTTCGATTAACTTCCATTCCACACTACATGTACAAAATTGTACATGTCCACAACCTTGATATATACCATAGATATACACTATTTGCGTACGAGGGGCGGCCATTTTGTTCGTCAGTTTTAGATCGATTTTCACAAAATTTGAAGTCAACCATCATTAGGGTGTAATGGTGATATATTCAAACGTTTTTTTAAATCGGATAATAACTGTGACCTCTAGAGGGACCAGAAGCCACAAGCTAAAATGTGATTCTTCTAACCATCAGGGCATCAAGGGCCATAAATCTGAAAGCTACAATCCGATATGCACAAATATCGAAAGGAACCAAGATCTTTGGGATATAAACATGTATTTCAAGTCTCATCAAAATCAGATCAAAATTATGACCTTTAGAGGGTCCACAACATGTTACAATGTTTGCGTACAAGAGGCAGCCATTTTGACCTGCAGTTTTGATCTGATTTTCACAAAATTCAAACTCAACCATCAGTAGGGTGTAATGGTGATACATCCATTAAGGTTTTTTAAATAGGATAAAAATTGTATCCTCTAGAGTGACCAAAAGCTAAAACATGATTTTTCGTACAATCAAGGGCCATAATTCAGGAAGTTACAATCTTATATACACAAATATCATAAGGAAACAAGATCTTTGGGTTATAAACATGCATTTCAAGTTTCATCAAAATTAGATGAAAATTGTGACCTCTAAAGTGTTAACAAGCTAAAAACGTCATTTTTCATACAATCAGGGGCCATAATCCATGAAGTTATGGTCCAATATATGTCAATATCAAAAGGAACCGAAATCTTTGGGAGATAGACCTATATTTTAAGTTTCATCAAAATCGAATAAAAATTGTGACCTGTAGAGTGTCCACAAACAAATTGTGGACGGACGGACAGGGGCGACAACAATATACGTCCACATGAAAATGTGGGCATATAAAGATATATGGATTAATGTAACCTTTGTTAAAAGTGGACAACAGACGGATGATGGACAGGGGCGTATAAAAATCAGCTCAGTCACATTATTGTTTTGACTACTGTCAGCATTTATAAGCTACTAATTGCTATATATCATTGAACTCTGTAAAAGGTTTAGATGACTTAAATCAATCTGACGATACTTGACACTATGCATGGAATTGGAAAACATTTAATGTTATTGTACCTGATTGTCCTGGGGTAGGAGGATGTATGTCTTTATTTTGTATTATGTTCATCATCTCAAATTCTGCTTGTTGTAGGAACTGTATAATAAGCTGCACAGCTGTAGGGTCTAAAATCAGATTTACTATATGATAAATAATAAATACATACAAATTTTCTAACATAATTACCAAAACAGGTATTATTAGAGTTCTTTTAGACTGCATACACTGAAAATGTAGCTAACAAGTTTATATCATTTTTTTGACAGTATATAGTTTCTATAGTACATGTTCATGTAACAAAAAATATTTGTTTTCAATCAATTTTATTATCCCTTTTGGTAAATATACATGTAGGTTTTGTGGCAGTAAGTTTAAAGTGTTTTTGCTTACCAGGATTGTCTTGTTCCAAGTGTCTCTGCAATAATTCATGATCTAGCAGAAACTCAAACCAAGTAATTGATGGTAATGACACAGTGCCAGGACAGTTGCCTCTTGGAACTTGAACATCAGTCATCTTAACAGTTAATGTAGGCAACTGAAAAATTAAAACTTCCAGTACATACACATGTATCCTATTCCTAAGTCTTCAGCATCTGCAATAACATTAAAAACATTTGAAAAATTAGTACAGCAAAAATATGGGCAAATAGTCCCAGATTTTATAGTGTTTCCATAATAATTTTCACAACACTGCACATCCCTTCAGACCCTGCCAGAAGAGAGGGATCACACGCCCCCATTAATTAAACTTACTTTAATAAGTAGGAAACAAGACAAACCATTCACTCAACCTGGATATGGTACAAATCATGGTGCTTGCCTTAACATAAAATCTTGGGGAAGAAATCATTTTGTCTCATCCTATTTTCTTATTGCTAGATTTGTACTTGGTAGAACCAATAGTGATGTTTTTTATAGGAAGGCCAGTGAGTAAGCAGTCAGTCGCGGGGATTAGATAAGTCTACAGTTAGTTTGAATATGAAATATATTATATTCTTCTGCTGTCAGTGTTATTTACGATGTACGAAGAAGTTATCTTCGTTAGACTAAGAGGGAGTAGAAAGAAAGCATTATCCATTTTAGCTGTATGGATATTCATACCAAAGTCCGAAATGTACATGTATAATTTACTGTGTGTGTATCATAATTTCTTGTTACGGTCAAATGTATTGGACTTTCAATGCACACATGTCACAATGACCACAGACTCGCTGATGAAGATGAAAATTCTGAGACCAGTTTTATATCGAGTTATATCATACTAGTTAATTCTTTTCGAAAGATCAAACTAACAGTTGACACCAGTTTTAGACATCATGGGCTTAATAATTACATCTATTTTCTGGTCAAAAATGATATTTAATCTTTAAAAGTTTAGGTTTGACCTAAAGACATGTTCCCAGAACCTAACAAATTATTTAATTTTTGTGAATCAATCATACATATTTATCTTAAAATTAGCATGTACGAATTAAAAGTGAGATCTGCAGGAACACAATATTATATGTCTGTATCTAAACCTCGGACTTCGGTCTGAAATAGGGGGGTTGGATGGCTTAGTGGTTAGCACGTGCGCGCTGTATCATTAAGCCTGTCATTGAGTCAACTGGTGTGGTTTCGAATCCCCGGTTGTACGTGACAAGGAGTAGGGTCGCCTGTCCAACCTCGTGGGTTTTCTCCGGGTCCTCCGGTTTCCTCCCACTGCTAAAGACCCCTACGTGCAAGCCAATTATGGAAATAAAATTAAACCATATGTTAGTCCCGAAATGACCTAGTCTGTGTCGAGTGGACGTTAAACCCCATTTCTCTTTCTCTCTCTCTCTCTCGGTCTGAAATAGGACTCCGACGTTTTGTTGATAAGCACTGTCTGCGACACACACTGCATTGTCACGAGCAAATCTGGTTTATCTGTTACAAACACAAAACAAAAATAGTAGAGATGGTAATATGGGTATAATTTAATGCACCTTTTATAATAAAATAAAACACGTTTTTTGCCAATAATAAATTCGTAACTCGCTGTTGTTATCGCCGCACCGGAAGTTCCTTCTTAATGAATTATTCAAAATATATTAGCAGGCTTAGTTATGCAAAAGACGAAAACAAATATTACTAATAATAATTTATTTATGAATATCATTTACTGTATATTTTATAGTATTGTTATGAAATGCAGTTAATTCTAGTAACATTTAAAACGATAGCCATACCAACGTCAGCTTAACATTTTATATTTCGTTACAGTTTATCAACGATTCTCAAAATTTACTTCATGTTTACAATTTTGTATGTAAATAATTTAATAATAGCCTTTCACAGGTTTCAGAATACATTTTGTGAGATAAAACAATTATATCTCCATATTTCCTTATTCTGGTTGAAATAAAGAATGTCATTACAAGAAAGGAAAAATAAAAAGAGTGTTCAATCAGATGAAGAAAAGGCTGAAATAGATCAATTTCTTAAAAATGCAGTAAGTTTTAGGCTAAAAACAGAAACTGTAGAGCTTTCAGCATTCCTTAAGCTAAATATATGTTATTGTCTTATTTAATCATTCTCAGTCGGTGTTTGATCGGATGCCTGATTATGAGTCTAGATCATTCCAAATTGATAGAATTATTATACTGTAGCTGAAAGACACAGAATAGAGTAGGGCTGTAGCCAAATACATCGAAATGTGTTTATTGTTTCAGTTGTCATCATATTTATCATGTGGTTTCTTGAGATATTCTCATATTTAGTAAGCGCATGCTAATGCTTTGAAGACTGAAAACGATGAGACCGGATGCGTACCAATAGACCATTAGGCTACACTTTTTTAATACTTAATTGTTTTTTTTTGGGGGGGGGGGGGAGTTACAGTATTCGCAATTCTCATGATACTGGAACCGGTAGCCCTATTCAAAGTCGATCAGTTCTAAGATACCTATTTGATCATCAACATCATGTAACGAATATGTGAGTATGTTGTTATTCATGGAAGCATATACATATATATAGTTCTCTACATTCTGTGTTTTGTTTCAGTTTGACTGTTGTATGATGTGTAATGGTTTTTATGGTGGTAGTTTTGGACAACCAGTTTGTAGTACATGTCATCTGTTTCTTTTCTCTGGTGATATCAACAATGAAGATGGAGAAGCAGAGGTTTTTGTTGAGGTAGATTTTATTATATTTCTTTGACTTAAATGTTACTCATTTAATCAGGAAGTTCTAAAACTGATAAATGTTACTAACTTTAAAATGACTAGACCTCTTTGATTCGAGTCAAAACATTTATTCTGTTGAAAAATCAACCCTTAGCATTGAGATGTAATTGCAGATTTTGTTTTGAACTGTTGACACAGTACAGGTAAGCAGTAATAAGTAAAAAACATGACTTCCACTTTAAAAACATTCACAAAAAATAAATTATATAGAGTTTTTCACCATCAATAATCGAAAAAACACATCAGATTAACCCAATTCAATACTTTACTTTTTACCTACATGTATATCATAGCGGCTTAGCTCTTTTAAGTTGTCTAATTTACATACCTCTATGGCATTTCATGGCACATTCAGTTTTAAGTAGTGCAGTAGTGTCATGTATATGATGGAAAGAGAAATAACGGGAGGTGTTTATAAGTTTGTTACTTACCATGCTCCATATTAGATCACTGGTCGGTTATCTTTCCATTCAAATGCCAGTCAAGTCATCCACAAGCAAAGTCGTCCACATGAAAAATCTGGTTAAGTCGTGTGATACAGCGCGCACATGCTAACCATTGGGCCATCCAACCCCCCTCTTTAGTAATAGAGGAGGGGGTGGCTGGCCGATTGGTTAGACTGTGCGTGCTGTATCATAAGGTCTGTCATTGAGTCATCTGATGTGGTTTCGATTCCCCGGTTGTACGTGATAAGGAGTAGGGTCATGGGTTTTCTCCGGGTTCTCCAGTTTCCTCCCATTGCCAAAGACCCCTACGCGAAGCGAATTATTGAAATAAACCATGAACCATGTGGAAGTCCCAAAATGACCTAGTTTGTATCGAGTGGACATTAAGCCCCATATCTCTCTTTTTCTCTTGTCTGTCTTCAGTAATTTAACTGTCTGGCCTTTTTTCTTTTAGAAAGCTGATTCTGATGATTCAGGAACAGAAGAACCAGGAGCAGAAGATGATTTTTATACACAACCTGAACTAGGTGTTAAAACTGTTAGGGCTATTGTTAGTCATAAAGCAGATAAGTTGGCTGAGAGATTAACATGTTTAACTGTAGCTAGAGATCGGGGAAATGTTCCAGAAGGTTTAATTGATTCACTTCCTCCTGAAGGTAATAATAATAAAATAAAACTAGGACTAGGACTCGAAAACTGTGAGAAATGATAAACTGTCTCTGGATAATGGATAATTGTTATAAATATTTTGGAGCACAAAGGCACTCATTTGGCCAATTATGGTTTGTAGTGAGATACTTTTGTGTCAGCTGGTGACCTGTATGACTTTTAGACATGTTATTGTACTGTAGAATTTGTTACCGCTACTTGGGATATAATGGTGTGAATATAAATACATACAATTTGTTATTTTCAGTATTATTGGTTGTATTTAAACATCTAGATGATATATCTCTATGGACAGCTGGTAATGTGTGTAGAAGATGGAGACAGATTCTAGATGGTGAAACATCTGAGGAAGAATGGAAACATTTTATACAACTACGCTGGCCATTATTTATGCCACAGTATAAAGTCAAATGTTGGAAAATAATCTACACCAATTTGTAAGTGATTGGGTAACATGTTTTATACAAAATATATCCAAAGATTTAGTTTAAATGACAGCAGATTTATATTTAAATTAAGAAGGCCATAGCAATATGAGGTTTTATGTTTATTCAACATAACTTTCAAATTTTCTTGTGTAAGTTTACAGGGACTTAAAGTAATAGTTAAATATCTGGGAGAAAACCCACACGACTATAATGCAAACAATTGTACTCATAGTTACGTAGGGTTAAAACAGCAACCCAATTGATCAAAGTTCTAAAATGACAGTATAAAATAACAGACTACAGGTAGGTAAGCTGAAGAATATGGGTTTTGTAGATTAAAATCCCAGCCGAGGCACAATGTATATCTGTGGTGTTTTTTGAGTTGTCTGTGTTATTGTTGGGTTTGGGTTGTTTGTGCTGCACTGTATTAGACATGAAAATAGATTTTGTGTGGTTAATAATAATAGATTTTATATTTTATTATTTCAGATTAAATAGTTCACCATGTCGTTATTGTTTAGAGAGTATGATGTTACAGGTTAGTTTCAATCTTTTGTCATTAAAACCTGTTGAGTTTCAATTCTTTCTGCGTTAAGGGCATAGTTCTTTTGTTGAATACTGGAAATAATCCTTATTTACTTAATATGGAATCAGGCCTTGGTATAATTTCCTCAAATTTAGCAGTACAAGTATATTCATAAAATACATGAGTCTCAGAGTTTTGAAATATTTGTATATCAATAATGTTACCTATGTGAATCGTAATACTTATATTTCTTTGTTGTAATATTGTATTTATTGTTAACCGTTCCCTCTCTCTGAACATAGGAGTAGACCGAAGGCTCAGTGTGTCGGGGTGTTCATCAAATGTGCACAAAAGGTGGATTTAGCAAGTTCACATTTTTATTGAAAGGGTGATTACTTTCGATCATTTTCAGCTTATTTTCATGATACAAAAATGGCTGTGTATTCACTTTCAGTGTAAATGAAATCATTTTACCTTTGACCCTGAATATCTCGAAACGCCCCAATGGCGGACTGATTACCACCCAGCATCATTCATATTCTACGCGAAAATTTTACTATAGAAAAGTTGGGTCTGGTTTTGTGCCCATTTGATGGACACCTCTCCGCACTGAACCTCCAGACTAGAGTGAAATATAAATTATTTTATGTATAGAGTACCCCGCCAATAGAAGAGAATTCATGGCGACACAGACGATTGAGAAGTGAGTTAAAAACATTAAAAATGGATCCACCTGAAGGTATACAAGCTACACCATTAGATAGACATTGTTGTCATTGGCAGGCTTCTATAACAGGTCCACATGGTAGTCCATATGAAGGAGGAATATTTTTACTCTATTTACAGATACCACAAAGGTTAGTGGAAAATCTATATAAATCCACCAAGTGGTCTAAAAGCTTAGGTCTGTTTGGTCCAATAATCATCATTTTATCCGGCTTCTGAGGATTGCTTTACGTTGCCCAGGTTTTAGGACACAGAACATTGCTTTAAAAGTCTGCTACATTGATGTTACCTTGCACAGAATTAATTAGTAGTAATTAGAACATTTATAATGAGCTGAATTCTGCACCACCAGGATCCCAGAGCTACTGTATATTATTACTGTAGTTTCAAGGATCCTTGAAAAAATATTTTCTATTGCTAAAACTATGCTGTGTATATGCCACAATATGTCTTTGTGTAAGGATGTAACCCTCTAACCTACCACTACCCATTACAGCTGGGTAGACTGGAATAGAAAGATAAAATGTCTTATTTATAAGCACACAAGGATTTGACATCCAGATAGAGTGGCATGCAAAGAGGCAATATTTGATTAAGAATATAACTATTTAACCGTTCTACTGTTTCTGTCTCCCTACAAAGATACACATGTTCCTTCCTTAGTAGTTTGGACTTCATGCATAATCTTGTGGTTTCATCCCACTCCTTTATATATATACAGCCCAACTCAGTAGAAATAATTAAATAACTGTAAACCACATTAAAGTTTACTCTTAGCACTTTTTATTGTTTAGTACAAAACATCTCTAATGTAAAAAGGTATCATATTTTACATTCTACATCTCCGATGTTTTGAGCAGGTTTCGATAGTTAACTAGCATGCCATTATCAATTAAATTAAATAATTCAGTTCTAATTTTATAATTAACTTGAAAAACTAACATTTTTTTTTAACTAGCTATCCCATGAGACCACCAAAAGTCAGATTTATTACCAAGATATTTCATCCGAATATCAGTCGTCATGGTGACGTTGGACTAGATTCAATCCATCACAACTGGAGTTTGGCACTAACAATTTCAAAAGTTCTCATCAGTATACAATCTTTGTTAACGGATCCATTTATTAACGTGTGCATGGAACCCACAATTGGACGTGTGAATAGTTCACAAAGATCTGAGTTTGATCGTATTGCAAGGAGATGGACATGGAAATATGCTATGCATGACTTTATGATGCCATGTTTAGTAGATTTAAAAGGTGTATGAAGAAAGTGTAACAATGTGTAAATTGGTGTTTGTATATAAAAACGGAGAGAAGAACATGTAGGCCAGTGAAATTATAATATGTACAATGGAGTGTATTTTCAGGGCTATTTTTTAAAAATGTTTCCTAGTGCTGGTCAATATAAATCTTGCAATAAACTCATATTAAAAACTTACTGAATGTGCGTTGCTGCTTGTTAATGACCCTAAGCATGAATTGAAATGTTGTTCACTGTAAACAAACATGTAACCTATTCTGGTTTCACATGTCACATTATTGCTTGATAAAGACTAGTCGAAGTGTCACCCTGTAAAAAGCAGTGATTGTAATCCATGGAATTGTGACCAGTTTTTCATCATGTTTGTAAATAATGCATTATTTAAAATTGTTAGTGATTGTAAATACCACAGTATCTGTTGAATGGTGATTATATTTATTTCCATTGAAGTTTTATTAAGGATGATTAAAAGAGAATTGTAAATTTATTCTGTAAAGGGCATTAAATAGTAAAATGAATCAAATCTGAATTATACAAATAATGTTATATCTTAACAAAAATGCATGCATGAAATTCATTTAAACATGTCAGTTAATTTATTTCATGGTTGTATATATATGTAGATATTGTATATAATATATTCATGTATGTAGAGAATAATAAACATGTTCAGAAACAATATCTCATACACTATCTAATTTTCCTGATTAATTGAATAAATCTTTCTAAATGAAATATTGTGACAAACCTATGCAGTACATATATGGATGGATCTGTATTGAACCTCAAAAATGAAAGTCTTGTTACATATGAAATGGAATGAAACAGGGTTTAACATCCTACTTTTCTGCTTCTACTGACTGGGCTGATGAAGACGGGCATACGCCATGCAATGTGCTATAAGGAAAATTTTGCCCTGACAGCAATGCTACGGTCTACTCCTGTATTGAATTCCAACTGTCAAGGATTCTTTAAATTTACATGCATGCCAATGTGTACACAGAACCTCTGTTTTCCATCCCATCCAAATGACTATACATTACATTGTCCCTTGTCAGGCCCTCGGTCCTGCACCACTGACATTGTTACATGGGAGTAGCATAAATAGATGGATCTATGGAATTACTGAAGGGAATTGAACCATTTTTGGACTGATATTCTTATTAGAGATTCAACTTTCACAATACTGTAGCTTGCAAGGCATTCTATAGTGCTATAATCACTCATATAGGTTTAATTGTTTGAAATATAAATTGATATTATAAGGTAAATTATCTACATCAAGTGCCCTAGACATGTCTCTATTGAAAAACCAAGGACAAGAGTTGTGTGTTGAACTCCTTTGAAAACACTATATTATTTACAACTTGTTATAATATGACCCTTAAAAATATGACCTTAAAATGTCTATTTCTCGTCATGGCAAATCAATCCCAAATTCTCTGTGTAATCTTATATTATTTGAGCACATAGTCAAATCTTGGCAAATCGAAAATTATATTTTGAACGAACTCCGAAGATCTTCAAAATAATCCCTTTTGGGTCCCATTTGTGGAGCCTTCATAACTTTATTATTGTCCCAAGCAAACACTACATCACAATGTAACAAGCAGGTTTAGGTTAGAAAACACATTGTTTTGTACCTTTCAGGACTGGCGGAAGCAATTCTTGATTTGGGGGGGGGGGGGCGCTACCTTCCTACATGTAGGTCTTTAGGCGAGAGTCCAGGGGCGATTTCTGGCTAATAAAAATACTCAGCAATGAAGTGAAATCTTATTTCTTTTCTAATTCCCTTACCATGAAAACACAGTCGATGGTGGTTTAATTCTGTGATGCTGAACTTGACAAATATATGCATAATAATACCAAGTTGTGAACACTTCCTGGATTATGGCCCCTGGACACCTGGTTGTACGAACAATCACATTTTAGCTTGTGGATCCTGTAGAAGTCACAGATTTTATTTGATTGTAAAAACCGTTCAGTTATATCAAAGTTAGTTACACCATAATTTCGGTTGATTTCAAATCTCATTTTAGCTTGTGGACCCTGTAGAAGATTTTTTTGATTGTAAAAACCGTTTAGTTATATCAAAGTTACGCCATAATTACGGTTGATTTCAAATTTCGTAAAAATCAGACATAAACTGCCCGACAAAATGGCCGCTCCCCTTTACGCTGGCAGTGTAATAAAAGCATGTAATACCCAGGTTGTGGATCCTCTAGAGGTCACAACTTTATCCGATTCAGATGAAACTTCAAATGAGTATCACTAGTTCTTGGCTGAGTTCAATTTTTTTCGTGCGTATCAGCCCCTGACTTTTAGTTACACAAAATGTTTGTGGACCTTTGTGTTAAGGATCAAAAGTTCTTAAAACGCCGAAGAATTGTAACTACACATACAGCTATTTCAAATTTCTCAAATTTCTTGAGAATGTTCCTTGCGTCATTTTGAGTGACTCTTGTCTCACCGGTATCAGACGCTAAACTTGTCAAACTGAGCTTTATTTCTGCATAATTTCCTCGCAAAACATGAGTTGCGTCAGCTCTAGCCGGCCACCTGGTTTCACAGGAATTAGTCCAGGAACTAGTTTATTCCACCGGCTCGTCGAGGCCGAAATGAAAGTATAAAAATCCGAGAAGGTTGAGGGATTGCAGACTCACCCAATCTCCGCCCATCGCGCCGCTAGAAACCTAGACCGATCACCGAGTGGAACTTCACAGGGAAGGTTGATGGATAGTTCAGTCTCCGTCCTCTCGCCGCTAGATCGATTACCCCTAAACTTTCATCTGGAATTTGAATGTTTTCTCTTTTTGCCATAAACCGCGGGCCCCCTAAACCGCGGGATCCATGCCTCTTTCACATTGTTGCCTTGAAAGCTCAGTGCAGCGTTCTTAATAGATTTTTAACAGTTGCTTAGTTTTATTTGCTGGCAATGATTTTAAATTTAAAACGTGTAAGACTTTTACTAGAATTTTTGCTCTTTAAATTAAGGATAGCGTTATATTGTATTAATTAATATCGCTGGTAAGTTAGTAGATTCACATATTTGTAGTTAAATCAAGTTAGCGAATGAGTGACAGATGGTTACATAAAAAAAGAGTCATAATGTGGTAAACATTCAATTCTAGGTTGTTAACAGATATCTCATGGAAAGTTTCTCCAGTAAATTTCCATTATCTATATAAGGGTGGGTTTCGACGTCATTTGGCTCAATTAACCAATCTCTCTAATTATTTACATCATATTTGACCAATTAGATAATTGAACGTTCAAAATCCAAAGCTACAAAACTGTCATACTTGTGAGAATTCGTCAGACAGCAGCTTGATTCCAGAAGGGAAAAGATGTAGCAATTTCTATCAGCAGTCTGGCTGGCTAGTGTTTGAGAATGATTTTAGTATTGTAATCTATACTATGCTTGTTTCCATGTATCCGGCTATGATATATAAAAAGTAAAAACGAACTGTTGCATTGTTATAACTACTGAGAAAACAGTAAGAAGAAAATACACAACGTGAAGGGGAAGCAAAGACAGCTAGAGACAAATTCTAGACGATCACAAGGCTACTAAGATATGTAGTAAGAAAAGATGCATGGGTCATACGTAGGATGTGGCGACCGAATTTGACGGCCCGCTCTCCACATCTGTCGAAAGACCCACGATACTACAAACGGACGACTCTTGCTGGTAATGGACGTATAATGAGCCCTGCCAAGTCCCCTTCTATGTTTAATTGTCCATAGTCCCGGTTGATTTTCTAGAATCATATTACAGGAAATGTATAATGGTCTTCATTTGAATAGGAAATGTAGAAAGCAAAGAATCCTTCAAAATTTAATCATCAAATTTTCAAATTGTTGTTGTTATTCAAGATTCAAGGTCAGTTTCCTATAGTGTAACCGACTTGATCATTTTACATGACGTACCCCCAGTTGCTCACACGGTTCTTCACGCGTAAACAGATCAAATTCTCAGACGTGTGAAAAAAATATGTGTAATTTCTACATATCAAATGCAAATGTAGAAAAGACTGGCCTTATATTGTCGCTAATCATATGTCAATATTTTTAAAATATTTTTTAGGGTGATAATTGGCTATGAGTAGGCAATTTTTAAAGATTATGAACAGGACAAACGTTTAATATATTGTTTATTTTCGTATAGATCTAAAATATTTAGCAATGTGCAATTATCTAGCTGACAGGCTATCCGGGCATTTATATTCATCTTAGATTTAACTGTTGATATTGGCTAAGTGCTTTAAAAAAATGTATCTCTAGTCTATACTTCCGTGGCACTAATCAGCGACCATAATGAATGACGTTGTAGATTAAGAAATGCAAAAGTCAGAATATATTCGGCTTATCATACTTATTGTTGGATGTTCATATTAAGTTACAAACGCTAACAGTTTATAAGCGCCGGTATTAAATTTAATCAAAATTAAGAATTCGATTTTTGAAACATTTCATTAAAAAAAAATATGTATGGGTTCGTGAGATTCAAAAAGACTGTAGATGATGATAATAGTGTGTTTTACCTACATGCAAAGATTGGACTAGACAGGGTTGGTTTTTATAAATTTAAAATAACAATATGGTTGCTTTGTGTACGACTTTCTGTCTAAAGAATGAGATAGCGCTGCATATTTTTTTATCGTATTGGAATTTTTCAGTTTATTGACTGATTAAAAATACTATTTCTAGAACAACATCGTATCTAGATTTATATCAAGATGGGTGGGCTATTAAAGGTCTGTAACCTGTGTGACTGGCAATCTTGAAAGTCATTTCTGTTTTAAGACATTAGGAATGTTATGGGCGATTGATTGATAGATAATATACAGAATTCAAATGTAAGTCAAATGAAAATAGATATAGAACATATCACAATTAGATATTAAAAATCGGAAAAGTAAGTTGGAACAAAATGCCTAAAATTTATTCATTTATAGAGAAGCCCATGCAAGGCAAAATGGCGCCGTTTTTTTGCTCAAGGTTTTCTCAGCGGATTTATATACTTTGGAACATAATCTTTCAAATAAATTTGTGGGCCACCCTGAAATGTGCCTTAAATCCTAGTTTTGATTCCCCGGTTGTACATGACAAGGCGTTGGGTCGCCTGTCCAACTTCGTAGGTTTTCTCCGGGTCGTCCGGTTTCCCTTTACTGCTAAAGACCCCTACGCGCAAACGAATTATTGAAATAAAATTGAACCATATGTTAGTCCCGAATTGACCTAGTTTGTGTCGAGTGGACGTTACCCCCCCCCCTCTCGCTCTCTCTCTCTCTCTCTCTGAGATTCATAATTTAGGCATGAATCAAAAGTTATTGTATTATCTATTATGGAGCGTAAGACATGACTGAATCTGCTATATCGGTGGACAGCATTGTCGGCCATCTTGGATTTCTGTATGAACCAATGATTTCAGTGAAATAAAAAAGTACAAATATGGATTCCTTGACCCCAAAAACCTATGACTGGGCACCAAAATTACAATCATATCACGCTCAGAACTGGAGTTATAGCAATTTACGTAATATGAGAGTTGCCACGCCGGCCATCTTTCTTCATCATAATCGGCCACAATCAGTTGAAAAAAGATCATCAATTGGTAAAAACAACTCTCAACTTGGATATGTTTAAGGCAAATTTCAGTGTGGCTCCCAAGCCTATTTGAAAGAGTATGTTCTAAAGTATATAAATGCACTGAGAAAAACTTGACTAAAAAATGGCGCCATTTTTGTCTGGCATGGACCTGTTGAAACGAAACTCAGTCCCATTAAACTTGTTAGCTGTATAGCCGGCGGTACAGGTATCTTTCATCTTGGAAACCAAGCTTGAGATTTTTTCTCGGCTTATATGGGGGTTTCAACACTGAAATTCTACTCCAGTTATTCTTCTCCGTTGTAAATAGCCTAGCCCCACAGTTGCCTGACTGCCAATAGATATCTATAGATTTGGTAGACTTGCCCCCCCCCCCCCTCAAAAAGTGGCGCTCTAAATTTGACGGACAATGTATATCTATTGTTTATATGGTCGACAATTTTTTTCAAGGAGGGGGGTGGGAGGGTGTGAGGGGGGGGGAAACTCTTTGACCCCCCCCCCCCATTCTAGTTGTTCTATAGTGCGCACTGGCGGTAACTTTATGCAAATATCGCGTGGTGGCTAAATATTTGCCTTTTAATTAGGTAAGTCACGTGTCCAATTTTAAGATGAGTATATAGATAAGTTGTACTATTAAGAAAATTATTATGATAATTGATAATAACATAGTAGACAACAAAGTAAGTACATTAGCCTAGGTATGTGTAATTAGATTTGTTATAAATAGTTCATATCTATATCTAATCTACTGATTTAAATAGAGATATTTAGTATCCTAATTTAGCATCATTATCAGTCATATCAGCCGTGTAGCACCCTTTTATATATACGATTGATATCAATATTCTATATTTAAACATAATTATCAGTTCAATAAAAATCAGTAGATATTAATATCTCTCTTAACAATAACAAGGTCGTTTATAAGGTGGTCGACAGTCAAAGTACAATATCATACATGTTTTTGCGTATGTGTGAACAAATAATATTGTCCTATTTTCTAAACCCACATGATCGTTATCATTGTCATAATTTACACGCCTAATGAATTTATAGTTATGCATGATTCTGTTTTTACCCAATGTAGTTCTATAAAGACGATGTTCATTAACTATATAATTCGTTCAACCTCGAATGGATTTTGTTTTTACTTTATTTTCCGCGAACTCGTAATTTTTTTTAGTGACTTGATTGGATCTGGTTAGTATATGAAATGTTTATAGGCCCGACAATCCGAAACTATAGTAGATTAATCGAACGTATTTGCCTTTCCAGAGATATATTCCAAACGGTTTTACTTGTTTGTACATGTACGTTGTAAATAGTGCTTATCAATTTTGAATGTTAATGAAAACTTTCGAAACATCGACATGGTGTTTGGAAAACAACTCCCAAAAAGCAGAACTAATAATGTTTCTGAATCTCCAATTACCGACAACCGTCATATTGAGTATCAAACGATAGAGAAAACATTGCTGGAGATTTGGGACTCAGGAAGGGCTAGTATATAACCACTGTTACAAGAAACTTGTGATTAGGATTTTGCATTGCTTCGTTACTATTCTATTTTTCATGGAAGGAATTAAAAATAACATTGGTCTAACTAAACAATCGTATACCTATTTCGTAATCGCTTTCTTTTTTGATACACTTTATACTGAATTCTGAATAACAAGCGTATGTTCACACGGCACATCCTTGCTCAACTGCAGACAGATTTCAGAAAATTCAGACCCTTTTAGGAGAAAATTCAGATTTTTTCGCAGAAAATTCAGAACCTTTCTCGCACATTTACCACGACAGATTTCAGCAAAACAGCAAATTTCTACTTATTTTGAATACAGGTATTGGGTAGTCAATACTGCGATTTGTTCAAATAAAGTTGAAGTTGGGGTCCGATGGTGCATATTGTGTGGGCAACCGTTTGATGGATTTTATTAAAAATCTGTCGGATATGTTACGTGGATAGTGCTTATTCTAGATTGCTCAGATGAAGTTCTTAGAATTGTTGCTCTTCAAAATCACCAGACGTAGCTGTTTGTACTCGTCAATCTATTATATGAATGGATCATAAATCCAATCATGGTGTTTTTGGAAGGGAGTGTGTGGAGGGAAAAGCAAAGATTTCACACCAAGGCGATTGAAAAATGAATATAAAAGTAAATAAAATGAAATGAACATAAATCACATCCAGTTGAAAACAATTTTGATCAAATTAAAAATGTTTAATGAAACACTTCCAACTAGATGAAGACCGAAAATAAATACTTTTAATTATTTAAAAATACCTTTCAGCCAGCTGGAAACAATATCGGTCAGATGAAAATTGGGAAAAAAATACAGATTAAATACAGAAGGCCTAAATACATTATCATCGGGGGGAAATATTGTTACCATGGTGAAAGCAAAAATCAGTATTATATTTTTTGGAGCTAATGTCGTTTTTTACAGCTGAAATCGGCTTGGCTCATTGCCTCTGTCTTACATGTATTTAACGCACAACCATGGACAACATCTGTTAGTCTCCAAATCACACATATCATAGACATATTCTATTCATTTATATATCTAATTTGAAACACAAATGATCATTAGCAAATCACTTTGGCCTCTTTCTCGGACACCTATCGTATCTATCCAACACGACAACCATAAGTCACTGTAGCAAACACTCCTTGTTTTCTGTACTGCACAGGATTTAGAGTAGTTAGACTAAAATTATTAAATTATTGAATCTGTGAGTAGTTGACAATGGTAAAAAGAACATATTAACGAGAGATAATATCTAGCCCTAAACGAGCCAAATTCAAAGTTTGGGTATTCTTGAATGATATCAGAACCAGTGGAACTGGGTGTTGCACTAGGTTCGAGTGTTTGTTTTGTAATGTATGATTATCCCATTTGATTTTTTTAAAAAGGCAATGCATAGGCTTTTATTAATTCAACCACCTATTGAATGAGTGTTTGTTTTGTAATGTATGATTATCCCATTTGATTTTTTTTAAAAAGGCAATGCATAGGCTTTTATTAATTCAACCACCTATTGAATGAGCAATGATACCTTAGGTTAAAGGAGAAATATGTTTGTAAAAAGAATAATACCAGTTTTATAGTAAGCCATAAAATTTAATTTTTCATGTAAGAAACGCGAATCCTTCTTAAGTGCACATTTGAAATCAAATTTTGGTAAAAGTACACCAGGATGAGACTATGACCACGAGAGAAGGGTGTTCAGACTAATGAGATAACCAAAACGATAACGGAATTAGGTAACCAAATTAAATACTTTGATTGGTTAAAAGCAAGGTCCGTAGGAGTGGACTAGCGATAGAAGATTTGTATATAAAACCCTAGAAGTACACGGCTTTAATTAATACAGACGGATATTTAGATTGACGTTAAGTACTATCGAAAATATATCGAAACAATGTTGGTGTTAATTTTATTGACCGTGTCAGCTCTACTGTTTGTTTATTGGTAAGTGTAGTTTAAAAAAAACCGTATCGCACAGATCGCTGAAAACTCTTGTCGTTCGAAATCAAAACAATTAATACTCATCACTCTATTAATATTAATATTAATGTTAAAATAAAATATATTATGCAGTATGTCCTTAGATATTTAATAATTTAATTTGTGCATTTATGATTCAACGCTTCTATCATTACAGGAAGCTAAAAGGGTGCTACAAATTGTTTGAAGAGTTGGGTATTCCAGGACCATCCCCGATACCCGTCTTTGGAAATGTTGCCGAGTTTAAGGACAAGGTATGTGGTCGACATATTTTAATAGAACTGAAAGTAGTAGTCTATTAAATTTGATGGAACTATCAATCAAACAATTTTAATGGCATCAGTGCTTGTAAATATAATTTAATAAATAATTCCACGTCGTTTTACTATTTTCAGAGTCCCCTGGATGTCTTTAAGAAATGGGCAGGCATATACGGAAACGTTTATGGGTAAGTAAAACAATTATTCCTGAAAATTAAAACAAAAGAAAAAACGGGTTAAAATAAGTTTGCACAGTACTGCACATTTAAATCTTATTCGCAAAAAAGTTCTAAAATTTTATTAAACTTATATACTTATAAAAAGAAAAACTGAACAAATACAAACCACAAGGTATGTCGAAAATAATTTTTTGTCTTGTTTATTTACAGATATTATGAAGGTTTTAATCCTAGTATGGTTGTCTCTGACCCTGACGTTATTCGTCATATATTAGTTAAAGACTTTGATAAATTTGAAGATAGACCGGTAAGTTGTCGAAATTTATTGGATTGATTTGAAATTATAATGAACTTCCTCTTCTTTCCATTCTTCGTTCAGGCGATACGTTTCAAGTCAGTAGCTTGAAGCGTATATATGGTATTAGTGTCAGTGGCCTGTGGCACGAAGTAACAGTATATTGTCGCATACATAATATATTATGTCAACGCTTGGGCGATATAATATATTATGTCAACGCTTGGAACTAGGATGGAGGTGACTAGGCATGAACTTGCAACGATAGATTTAATTGGCGCTTTGATAACCAATGAATGCTTTGGAGACATATTTTGGCGGTATTTTCCATCATGGAATCGGTTAGTTTCGATTGTTTTTTTCTTTTCTGTTTTTTCTCTCTTTTCTGTGTCCTAACCCTAACCCTAACCCTAATCCGAAAGAAAAGTGCCCTTTTTTGAAATTCTGACATCACAGGTGCCCTTTTTATGATAAGGATGCCCTCTTTTATTTACAGGGACACTTTCTATTGTTAAGGGAGTGGACCGGTCCCCATGGTCCAACCCCTGGATCCGCTCTGATGACGCGTACATTCCACTGAGTCTACAGGTCTAATATGCTAACACGCTTGGAGCGTCAACACAATATATTATGTCGCCCAAGCGTTGACATAATATATTATGTATGCGACAATATACTGTTACTTCGTGCCACAAGCCACTGACACTAATACCATATATACGCTTCAAGCTACTGACTTGAAACGTGCAGGGTGCTTCGTTTCCTTACTGAAATAATTGTTCTGGTATAACAACAAATTGTACCACACATGTATATAGCTATACCTCAGCAAATTTAACTTACAGTTCAGTCTGAGTCCAGTATTAGAAACAATGTTCATAATATTTTAAAATTTAAATTTCAGCTGTGTACCCCCTTTGTCTTCTATCCTATGCATTTAAGTCTGGGTGTTACAAAAGGTGAATTATGGAAACAACAGAGACATGTAGTTGCTAGTGGTTTTAGTACCTTGTCTATCAAACAGGTGGGATCATTATACTGCTTTTGGTAAATAGAGAATCTCCTACCAGTCTTTTTTGATATCAAAAAATATCAACACACGTTGATAAAGTAACAAAAAACATTGTCTGTTTCCATTAAGGTCAATTGAATAACAATAGTTCATTTTTAATTTAAAAAACGTTTTCAACTCACCAATCAAATTCATGTAAAGCGATATCTCCTAAGGAGATATCGCAGTAGATTATGAAATATATCACACAAGCGATATCTACTGTAGAATGTATTATTGGGTGATAATCATATATATATAGCTATAATTTCATTTGACTATTTCAATATACCCTGTCATGGCGAAACCGTTGAAACAAATTACACATCACCCGATTTTAGATCATACTCATTCCCTTTCGCTTTGTTTTCATTGACATTACATGACAGTCTAACAAAATCTTTAAACAGCCAAATAACAGAGGCTTTGGTTTGGCCTACAATGAGTTTTAAACCATCACAATACCTATAAGACTTGAAAAGAGAAAAGATAGTTTATAAGGATGTATGTAGATACATGTATTTCCATTTTTCATTTTTTTAGATGTTGCCGAACATGTTGATAAAATCGGAATCACTAATAGAAAAACTAGAATGTAAAATTCGTGAAGAACCAGATAGCCACAATGTTACTGAAATCATAGAACGGTACATGTTGGATTCCCTCGCTTTTGGTGCATTCAACTACAATTCCGACAGTTTGAATAACGATGACGAAATTTTGTTGGAGTATGTTCAACAATACAATTATTCAGCTTCTACTGAAAATCCTTGTTCTGGGTTAGCTAGTAAGTACATTTTATAAGTCAGGGTATCAATAAATATTGCCCACTTACCCCATCGTGCCCACCCCTACCTCATCCCCACAGCCACACCAAGTACAAACACATTTTTTGAATTACGTCTAAATTCTGGCACGTATATTTTTTTTTCAGGATTGTTCCCAAGTCTAACACCATTTTGTCAGTTATTTACTGGAAAACTTCGCAACGCCCTTGATAAACACGTTAAACAAGTGATGACCTTCTTGGAGAAAGAAAAACGAGTGGTAAGAACACACTAAAGATAATCCAGTTGTTGAACAAACATATCTTTATCGTATCACGTTATTACGACATTATAACTAGAATGTATTGCTACCTTGACATAGTGAAGATGGGGAAAATAATACTCTATATATTCTAGAAACCGGAAATTAACGTAATGTGATTCATCAATAGTGTGATGTAAGAGATCTTTTTTAGGTTTCAAGATCACTGAATCCGAATTCCAGCTGTCAAGGGATTTTTACGTACAAGCAATCTCGGTCTTCGTCAAATCCGAACGACTAGACACTGTTCATTGTCAGGCTTTTCGCCCTGCACCACGTTCTCGACCAACGCCAGAATCGAACCCGAAACTTCCTACCACTACATCCAAATGTGACATATTTCCGTATATTTTACTAATAAATAAATAGACTGAATAAATTATACATGTATTTTTTTATAGGTTTCTCGTTCTCATGAAGGAAGTAAACATGGAAATCTTATACAGAGTTTATTAACAACTAAAGCAACATGCCATGATGAAAACAGCAATATCTACAAGAGATATCTTTCTGATGAAGAAATTTTAGCCCAAGTGACGTCAATGGTTGGTGGTGGTATTGGACCAGCCTCTGCACTCATGTCTTTTCTAGTTTACAATCTGGCCATTCATCAAGACGTACAAAAGAAAGTTATGGAAGAAATCAACTTGAATATCACAGACAACGTAAGTAAAGCATTTATAATTAATTATATCGACTTTCCTGCTGTCCAAATAATCTGATATCTAATCAATTTAGTGCATGTTAGGATTGTTTAACTGGTCAGAACCAAGAAAAACTCCGGCGTCATAAGTGCAACTACATGTATATAGTCTCCCGCGCTAGCTTAATCCGGCTCTGTATTATTATAACGTTTCAAGAAACTGTCCATCTTCAGGTAAATCTAATAAAAAAACAAAAATGCACGTGCGCCGAGATCATGAAAATGGCCACTGAAGAAATTTGATTTATTTCGACAACTGTTTCCAATGAAATCAGTTCAAGAGCTAACATGTAAAATAAATTCCAGTCTACACCAAGGGCGACAACTAAAGTAATCCGATTGGAATCGAAGCTCCGTTGTTTTCTCGAGTCAATATTAAATTCCATCCCCGGTATCCACAGTGGTATCGTTCCATTCTGCTCCACTAACCGCTGGGTATAGTCACGGCATTCACGAATTCAACAAATTATCTGCCCTTGATGATTTCATTGGTCACGTAGGTTGTTTCTACGACTCAATCAAAAAACAGATTACATACGAGTCTTAGCATCATTGTTTATGTTCACCACACGCAGCAGTTGTGTGTTTGATTATGAGAAATTTCAAAAGAAATTGAATATTAGAGATGTGTCATGCACACAAAACGATGTCCAAAAGTATTTTGACAAAGTTTACTACAAGGATTCTGCGAGCTTAGTTTCAACAAAATGCGAGTTATTTCCCTTCGTTATCATGGGCGGATAATTTGACTATGCCTTCCCCCGTGAATGGACCCCAGGGTAAGTTTAGTAGAACGGATTGATACCACTGGGAATACCGAGGATGATTATATACTGGCTTGGTCTTAAAAGAGAGAAATGAAACATTTTAGGACTTACAGTGTGATGAGTGGAAAACTGTGGATTTAATTACTTTTCCATATTCGATTTCAGATAGTAGATCGTTGTTTCTGTTTCAATCATGATTCCTGATTTTTTATAATAATTTTCAGGAAGATGTAACCTATGATACATTATATAAACTGAACTATCTGGATATGGTTATAAATGAAACATTTAGAGTCTTTCCCGTGGCCCCGGGAGTAGCAAGAACATGCGTGGAAGATACCGTTATAAATGGAACCCAATTCAAAGCAGGAACTGTCATCAAAATCATGGCTTGTGTTATGTATGCAGACGATTCCATCTTTCCAGAAGCAGAGAAATTTATTCCCGAAAGGTATGTTGTAAAGATACTTTTATCATTACAAACGTTACCCTACCAAGATTTTACAATGCATCAAATATCTACTAGCGATTATCCAGGTACTGTATCGTCTCGTCCTAAGGACATTTCAAATTTCGGAGTTAGCACACAAAAAAGGATATCAGAACGAATGTCTTTGAAATATCATTATATTATATTATATATTTGTTGCAGGTTCTCTAGATCAGAATGCGAAAAGCGTCATCCTTTTACGTGGTTACCATTCGGAGATGGTCCCAGAAACTGTGTTGGTAAAAGATTGGGTTTAATGCAGTGTAAATTGGCAGTCGTTCAGATATTGAGAAAATATCAAATACTTCAGACTAATCAGACCGAGGTAAAAATTATCTCCTTTTTTCATTAAAAAAAGTAGCCCCATAATATAAATTTGGGGAACGAATATAATATATATGATTGAATTTTTAATAATAATTAAATTTAGTCAGTTATAATTTTAGTATAGTAAATGAAGTACATGTCTATCTTATATATATATTATTTAGACTGAAATTCACTAGGATATGCAAGACTATTCTGAAGATATGAGTTTATTAAGTTAATTCTGTTTACAGGTGCCATTACAAACTGTTTTAAACCCCGTACTCTCACCCAAGAATGGAATTCACGTTCGATTGGTACCAAGAGAAAATTCTGGTTTCTGTTGAATTATATAGTGATATACAGGATAAAGATCTCATCGCCGCTACGGTTTCTAGAGCCACTCATTTTTGTACTAAGATGGTGATTCCATCGTTGAGTTCCAAACCACGACATGGTCCATGAACTTCAGGCAGCGGAAAGATTGAAACCCAAGATTATTCTCACGAATTAACTTCAATCCAACGTCATCTTGGACCAAGATCGGTGACATTCACAGAGTTTGAAATAAGCTCGTGGAATGATTAAAAAGAATCTCTGTTCAGTAATTGTGTTATAATAGACAAAAATTACTGCGGAAATGTAGACTGTGTGCTATTCTGTTTAAAATGTTTCAAAAGATATATGATTCAGATAAAAACAGTAGACATGTATAACGTACCAATGATAATCAAATCTTACAATATTTTTTGTTTGTTTTTTATGTAAATTTATTTATAATGTTAAAATAGTATGAGTGTTAGATGTTCAATAAAATTAGAAATTTACTTATAGTATTTTTTTTTGTGTATACTATACATAACTTAGTTTTATGAATAAGGAAGTAAACTAGTTATACAAATTCTAGTGGACCAAACAGATTTTGTTATAAAAAAAACACTAACTTGAACTAGTTTTGTCTTCTAAAACGTAGCAGCACGGTTTAAGAAGTTGTCCCCCGCCACCGCCCTGGCCCTTAGGATGCAATGCGACATACTTATAAGGATCTGTTGCTTGTACAGCGCTAAAAGGGACCTTCTACATGTATTTCGAAACCATCCCCTGACAATTAGTTCGGCCCCGCATTGTGTTCCGGTACCCCTACCCCCTACCCCCATGGACCCCCTATTTCAACTGATCTAGGTACAAACGTGGAGAACATGTGGGTCAAGAAATACGAGATAGTATATAACTGGGATGAAGATACTTCAAGATGATTATTGCCTTTCAAGTCGAAAATCAGAAGATTTATGGGAAATGTGTTATGCTTTAATTCAACTTTCTTGAACATACAAAATATTACACTACTTCTTAACTATTTGAGAAGTTCCCATGGTTATGGTTAAGCCCCCATCATACACTCGCGGACTCACCCACACATGTGCGCCAGTGCATATTTTAATAAAGATATATGTTAGTCCTGAAATGAACTAGTTTGTGATGGTCGACGGTAAACCTCATTTCTCATATCCCCCGCCCCATCCCCACAATCGCATGCAGTAAATAGAACAACGTATACATTACTAATACACTTTAAGTTCACTTTAAATTTAGTGACGACTGACCTTACACTCAATTATTGTAATTGTCTACATCCTGATATAACATAAACTATAGAAATTAGTCTTGGTGCACCCTACAGAATAATTGTCGTTATTATCTACATAATTACTATTATATGCTGTGGTATAAAAACATTCAAAATTGACCTTGTTTAACATATTATAATCTAATTGTCTTTAAACCCGATGTCTCGTATAGACAATTAAGATAATAAGACAGCTTTCAAATTACATACCATTAAGACAAAGGATTAACAATGAAGTCGTTAGTATTGTACTTCTTAGCAGCGTTTGTGCTCTTCCCAATTCACAGAATTAATGGAGATGCAATAACCAATACGATTGGCAAGGAAACAGATAAATTGGAAAAGGTAAAAAATATTTTTTAAATATGTTGTTATTGCTATAGTGATGATGAGATAGGAAATTCGTCACGTGGGATACCGTTCGTGTCCACACACTGCAACCAGGTCACAATATACGAAGCTGAATGTGGTTTCAAGGTGTTAATAAATCCCTCTGTTAAAATTGTTAATAATTATAAGATTTCGATTAATTTAGTTTTTAGCCCCTGTACATAATATCATGTTAATATAAAACCTGGGTTAAACTGAGTTTACAGTCCCTTTACGTTATGTGTAGGATAAAGCACGAGACCGGGGATTATGCCCAGCATAACTGAAGTCGAGGACTTTATCTTGCTTATAAACCGTCTATGTTTACATGTACGCAAGTTGAGAATATCCCAGAATTCCCGTAAGAAAAACCCTATATCATGTTATCTTATGGAAAAAAACTACCCTGGAAGAATAACCCGGTACAGGTTTAAAGAAAAACTTTCAGAAGAATTACCCCAAATTTCCCTGTATATATCCAAAGCCGCCCCCGACTTTCTGACTGCAAGTTATTTCGGGCATAGAATATACCCCAAATCATGTTAATACAAGACATTAATTAACTTTAGTTTATAGTCCCTGTACATTATATCATGTTAACATAAGACTTCGACGATTAACTTTATAATTAACTATACTTTATAGCCCCTGTACATTATATCATGTTAATACAAGACTTTGATTGACTTCAGTTTATAGCCCCTGTACATTATATCATATTGATACCGGAATTCGATTAACTTTAGTTCATAGCCCCTGTACATTTGTACATTATATCATGTTAATATATAACTTCGATTAGCTATAGTTTATAGACCCTGTACATAATCATTATATCAGGTTAATATATTAAATATAATGAGTTCTGATTTCTGATTTCCACATACCGTTATATTTTTAGGATTATGATTATGGAGATGAATTTGAAATAACTGGAACGGGACCAGTACCTCAGGTATTTTGGCCGGAGAACGCCGTAGACTCAAGTGGTAAAGCATATATTAATTAAACAAAATTATTTCTAAATCTCCAGCCCGAATGACTCGCATAACTGTATCTTCAATATATAGCTTAAACGATCAACATACATGTGTACGCAGCCTAAAATATTTGGTTGTCATTTAATGATTTCAAAATCAAAGCAAAATTGTCTATTCGTTCACAAATTTATAATCTTTTTTTCCTTAACCCATCATCTGATGTTGGCCTGAAAGTGGTCCGTGATAATATATTTTTTTAAGATTATATAATAATATTTCAATAAATAATGCTGTATATGATGAAGACGATAATATACATATCAATATTTCAGTAAATAATGCTGTATATGATGAAGATAAATATATATCAATATTTCCGTAAATACACTATTACACTATTTTGCCTATACCGTTTTTTTAGGACTTCGAATTTTGTCTAATGGTTTGGATTGTTCGTACTTGGTTTTATTTTATTGTATCAATAATGCTATATATGACGAAGAAAGATATTTATATCAATATACTGTATAGGACGAAGAAGATAATATATCAATATTTCAGTAAATAATGCTGTATATGATGAACCTAATTATAAATCAATATTTCAGTAAATAATACTGTATATGATGCAGAAGATAATTATCAATATTTCAGTAAATAATGCTGTTTATGATGAAGAAGATAATGATATATCGGGTGATGATGAAAATGAAAACATATCTGAATGCCCCGATCTGAATCCATGTCAACAATATTGTCAGTATTATTTGGGTGCTCTAAGTGATAATAAACCTGTATGTTGGTGTAACCCTGGCTATATTCTACAACCAGATAAAACGTCATGCAAAGGTATATTGTCCATACTTTTGAGCACACAGGATATGTTGGGGGGGTTTTCTGCCGACTTCATTAGCCCCAATCCATTTCATTGCGTTTATTTCTAATATCAGATTAATACAGATGTTTTGCCAGAAATAAAATTAAAATTTTCCAACTACATCCACCCAATCGTAGGTACCACATTTGGCTTGATTCCTAACTTATTTACTCTAAAATTAGCTTTTCTCAACTGCAAATATATTTTGTAAAATTAATATTAAGGTTATGTTTTTCTACCAGATATAGATGAATGTAAGAATGGTTTATGTTTAAATCATGGTGTGTGTACCAATACACCAGGATCCTATATATGTAATTGTGACAGAGGTTTTTATTTGAATGCAGAAGGGCAGTGTGTTGGTATGTAACAGTGCACGGTATACAGAAATATTATTTTATCAATTGTACGTAAAGCTCTATTCCGCCATCACGGTTGGGACCTACTAAGTTTGTGTTAGTTTGGTTAGGTAGTGGTGGAAGAAGCGGTGGTGGGGGGGGGGGGTAAGTCGGAAATACGATTTATTACGGTTAGAGTGTCGCCTCCAGTGCACTGCAGAGATTTGGCAAACTCTTTGCTTCTATGCCCCAAGAGTAAAGTATAGTACTCTGAAATGTGAGAAAGGGAGACACTTTACATAAGAAAACCTAGATAAGATATACTTTTTATTCGAATTAAGTAGCATAGGGAGTAACATCGATCCCCGTGGCTGTCGGTAGTATCCCGCTAGCCATACATTACTGATTGAACTTGCCTTTAGAGTGTAGTAATGTTTCTTTTTGTTGTTTTCTATTTATCAGATTTACCAGATTGTATAGATGACGATATATGTGGTGAAGGTAGTACTTGTATGGAAGTTCCTGGTTCCTATCAATGTGTTTGTGATCTTGGTTATGAATATATCAACGGCAAATGCAAAGGTATTATATCTTAAACTGTCTGTTTGCGCAGTTGTTCAAGTTGTCCTTAGTTCACGGTGTATACATATTTCTCGACTTATATAGATATGACGGGATTCGGAGTTTTATGTTTAATTAGATTTCACAGGTTATTCATAATCAACGGTTTAATCAAAATTCACAATGTAATATGGTTAAATCATATTTCATAATTTATTCATAGTTCAGGATTTAACCATAATTCAAGATGGTTATTATTCTTAGTTCACGATTTATTGACATTTGACTTTGGTACCATGTCCGTGTAAACTGCATTCCTATTGGGTTGTTTTTTCTTCAGATATTAACGAGTGTCTGTTAGTTCAATGTGGAGATAGGAAAATGTGTAGGAATACAGAGGGTGGTTATTTTTGTGAATGTGCACCAGGTTATCAGGATGTCTGCGGAAGTTGCCAGGGTAAGAATTGGAACACGTAATAGAACTTGTTTTTGGGCGTTGTGTAAAGTTGTAAACTCACCCTTTAAATGATAAACTATTTACAATAATTGAGCATTTCAAATTAGTTTTTGAATAAACGTTATAACTGCTCGGTTTTTTATACGCCCACAATTGTTTGTGAACACTCTACAGGTCACCATTTTTTATCCAATTTCAATGAAACTTGAAATATATGTTTATCACCCTAAGATCTCGATATTGGCATGTATCGGACCGTAACTTCATGGATTATGACCGCTGGTTGTACAAAAAATTACGATTTTAGCTTGTGAACACTGTAGGGATCACAATTTTTATCCAGTTTGGTTTAAACTTGAAATGTGTGTTTATAACCCACAGATCTCGGTTCCTTTTGATATTCGCGCATATCGGACCATAACTTCCTGAATTATTGCCCCTGATTGTACGGAAAATCGCGTTTTTAGCTTGTGGGCCCTATAGAGGTCACAATTTGTATCTGATTTTAAAAAAAAACGCCCGAATATATCACCGTTACACCTTAATGATGGTTTAGTTCGAATTTCGTGAAAATCGGACCAAAACTGCCGGACAAAATGGCCGCGGTTCGTACGCAAACAGTGTAAAATATGGTATACCAAGGTTGTGGACCCTCTAGAGCTCACAATTTTGATCCGATTTTGATGAAACTTGAAAGACATGTTTATGACCAAAGATCTTCGTTCTTTTCGATATTTGCGCATATCGGATCGTAGCTTCCTGAATTATGGCTCTTGACTGTACGAAAAATCGCGTTTTTAGCTTGTGGTCCCTCTAGAGGTCACAATTATTATCCGATTTTAAAAAACGTGTGAATATATTACCGTTAGACCGTAATGATGGTTGAGTTCGAATTTCGTGAAAATCGGACCAAAACTGTCGGACAAAATTTTCGCCCCTTGTACGCAAATAGTGTGAACATCTGATATATCAAGGTTGTGGGCCTCCTATAGAGGTCACAATTTTTATTTGATTTTGATGAAACTTGAAATGCATGTTTATCTTGGATCCTTTCGATATTCGCGCATATTGGATCGTAACTTCCTGAATTATGGCCCTTGGTTGTACGAAAAATTGTGTTTTGAGTTTGTGGTCCCTATAGCGGTCACAATTTTTTCCCCCATTTAAAAAAAACGTTTTAGTATATCACCGTTACACCCTAATGATGATTAAGTTCGAATTTCGTGAAAATTGGACCAAAATTGCCAGACAAAATGGCTGCTCCTTGTACGCAAATAGTGTAAATATGGTATATCAAGGTTGTGGACCCTCTAGAGGTCACAATTTTCATCCGATTTTGATGAAACCTGGAATGTATGTTCATAACCCAAAGATCTTGGTTCATTTCGATATTCGCGCATATCGGATCGTAACTTCCCGAAGAATCGCATTTTGAGCTTGTGGTCCCTATAGAGGTCACAATTTTTATCCGACTTAAAAAAAACGTGTGAATATATCACAGTTATACACTAATGATGGTTGAGTTCGAATTTCGTGAAAATCGGACAAAAATTGTACACAAATAGTGTAAAAAATATGGTATATCAAGGTTGTGGACCCTCTAGAGGCCATAGTTTTTATCCGATTTGGATGAAACTTTAAATATATGTTTTTATCATAATCACACATATCCGAAAGTAACTTCCTGGATTATAGCCCCTGATTAGTCGAAAAATTGCATTTTAGCTTGTGGATTCTCTGGGGGCCACAATTTTTTTCCGATTTTAAAAACCGTTTAGATATATCACCATTCCACCATAATAAAGGTTAAATTGGAATTTCGGGAAAATCAAAATGAAACTGCCCGATAAAATGGCCGCTCTTTCTACTCAAATTGTGTATAAGTATGAAATACAAAGGTTATGGACCCTCTAGCGGTCACAATTTTTATCCAATTTTGATGAAACTTAAAACACATCTTTATATTCCAAAAATTCCAGTCCCTTTTGATATTTTTGCATTTCAGACCATAACTTTCTGGATTATGGCCCCTGATTGTACAAAAAATCCTTTTTGTTTTTAGCTTGTTCTCTGTCCATCTCTTGCAAAATGTGGGCGTATCCTGCCTGGCAGCCGCTGTTTTTTATTCATAATTGAGGGGTTTTTTCTTCAATACATTGGCTGGAGAATTACATTCTTTTACTCTTATACTTTACTAGTGGCCCTGTACTGTATAGGGGATATTTGATTTTTAAGTGTTATTAAAGTCACCTAATGAAATTGACGAAGAAACAAATGACAAAATGAAATGAAGTTCACATTCATCGATTTATTCCAAATGATCGTTAGACTAAGTAAGGCACAGACTGACCATTATAAGGGTAAAATGATACCCGGGGTCAAACAGCAAAGTTACCACAGCATCACAACCAAGTCAGTAACGGGTAAATCCTCCTCTGTTTGCCAAACAAGCATTGATCCGACGTGGCATACTCCTAATGAGACGTCTAAGGTCATTTTGGTCCAGATTGTCCCATTCCTGTTGCAACGCAGCAGCAAGTTCTCGGACATTGGCAGGACGTTGTTGACGTTGACGTAACCTCTGTCCAAGCATGTCCCAGACATGCTCGATGGGGGAGAGGTCGGGACTCAGTGCTGGCCAAGGTAATGTGGTGATGTTCTGTTGTTGGAGGTAACCTGTAACGATCCTGGCCCTGTGAAATCTTGCGTTGTCATCCTGGAAGATGAAACGGCGGCCATGACGTCGTGCGAACGGCACAACATGGACTGCCAAGATGTTGTCCCGGTAGTACTGGCCTGTAACATGCCCTGCAACAACATGTAAAGCCGTTCTTCCAGCAACAGTGATGCCTCCCCACACCATAACAGAACCACCCCCAAATCGATCATGTCTGATGACGTTAACGTCTTGGAAGCGCTCGTTTCGACGACGCCACACCCTCCTACGTCTGTCCAAAAAATCAACAGTGAACCTTGACTCATCTGAAAACATCACATTGCTCCAGTGTCGATTATCCCAGTGTTGACGATCCCTACATCAACGACGTCTTGTCTGAATGTGATGATCTCTCAAACAAGGGATCACGCGAGGACGTCGGGCGCGAAGGTGACCCCTATGCAGTCGATTCCGAATCGTCTGGCCACTCACTCTCACACCAGTGTCTGTTTGAAGACGAGCGCTGATCTGATTTGCTGTGATGACACGATTTCTCAAGGCCAAGGTACGGATAAATCGATCCTGGGCTTGAGTTGTCGCCCTTGGTCGACCTGAGCGTGGTCTGTCCTGTACAGATTGTGTATCACGGTATCTGGACCATAGCCTGCGTATGACAGACTGAGAAACATTCATCGTCCGCGCCACAACCGCCTGTGTTGTGCCGATCTGTAGCATGCCAAGGGCACGTAACCTTTCATTTTGGGTAAGCCGACGCATATCAAAATTTGTTTTCTGGTCACTAAAACAATTAAACTGATGTTTCCACCCTGGAATCCAATGCCACAATGACTGTAACATTCAAAGTCAGAGTCGTGCAAATCTTGGGTTGGACCCCCATGATGATCCCAAGCATCACCTGCATTCCATGCGGTAGCTATTGGTGCGTTTGGGCGTCACATGTAACTGGAAATGTTTCTTCTGTTAGGTTCTATAGTGACTTTTTTCGTAGTCATTTGCATATTTTAGTATTATGCCCCCAAAATCAAATATCCCCTACTTTTTTTGAATAGTATATATATATTTAATGACAAATCAATCTAATAAATAATCTGCTCCATTTTCTGAGACCCCAATTTTGTATTGCCGGATAATTATTGAGTGGTGTCATGTAAGAAACATTATTACTGTAAAACTGAAGAATTCTGTTACATTGGTGGGTATTATATGACGGTCAAGTAATGAAAAACAAAATGGAGAAAGAGTTATACTTTGCGAACTAATTAGTAGTGGGGGTGAAGATATCTTTGAATGGCATAACTTTACTGTTTTATACATGTATATAGATGTCAACGAGTGTAGAGATAGTAGACATACCCCATGTCCCAGAGGAATGTTATGTTATAATACGGAAGGTTCATATCATTGTTTCTGCCCACTTGGTTATAGACAACATGGTAACGGATGTACAGGTATAAACATCTTTAAAATAATTTGATTGTTGACATTTATGTATTTAACTAGTCCTTAGCTACTAATATTCGCCCATATTTTTCTGTTGACGTACTATGTTGTCATTCACGTCCGTCAGTCCGGACAATCTAGAGGTCAAAATTTGTATCCGATTTTGATGAAACAATATATGTTTATGTCCAACATATCTGGGACAGGTTCGATTTGGGTGCGCATCAGACCGCCATTTTTTGTATTAGGACATCATATCGTTTATTTTCAAAATGGCCGTCATTTTCCAAGACGGTTGCCTTTTTCGGCTTTTCTTACACATAATTTTAACCACTGTACCGATTAAGAGGGGCTTTTATTCGCCCATATTTTTCTGTTGACGTACTATGTTGTCATTCACGTCCGTCAGTCCGGACAATCTAGAGATCAAAATTTGTATCCGATTTTGATGAAACTTACAATATATGTTTATGTCCAACATATCTGGAACAGGTTCGATTTAGGTGCACATAAGACCGCCATTTCTTGCATTATGACCTCTTATCGTTTACATATATACTAAGCAGCGAAAAAAGCGTCATGTTGGTATGTTACTCTGAATAGACGCATTGCCTAAAAAAAACTTTCCAAATGTTTTTATTGTATATTTGTGACCACATCTCCAACTTTACCTGAGCAATAAAGGCTCCTTCCCAAACACAGAATTGAACTCGGGAAATGTTCTCAAAAACGCAACCCGACTTCTGAGATGGTAATGTGTTCTCCATGATTTCCATGTAACTCATGCTGCACGTGCCCTATAATATGCACCCCCCATACCTGGTTGAATCATTCACACTACAACGTCAGCAGCATGCTACGACTCACGACAGCTCAGAGGAACCAGGCGCTTGGAAGACTCGAAGCTGGTCACACTGCAACGCTTTCGGGCCACCAACACCACGGATAATTGCCCCCAAAGGTTACCACAAGACGACAAGACCGCACGTGCATCTGAGACAGCTCGTCGGACAGTGGGAACACACGGAAGACCCATCAGTACCGATACAATGCGCCGACGTCTCACCAGAGAATACATCCATTGCCGTAGACCTTACCGTGGACCGCCCCCACACCCTCGCCATCGACGTGAACGTCTACAGTTTGCACAACAACACCAGAACTGGCTACACAGGCTATGGAGAACTGTTCTGTTCACAGAAGAGAGTCGGTATTGCGTATCAACTGCAGATGGCAGGACCAGAATATGGCGTCGACATGGCCAGCGTTATTCTGACCAATGTGTCATGGAACGAGACTCATGGGGAGGTCCAAGGATAATGGTTTGGGGTGGAATCGTCTTGAACCAGAGAGTGGGTCCTGTGGTGTTCCAAAATCTTGCTCCAGGGAGAAGAGGCGGTATGACAGCATTGCGCTACATCGATCAAGCTCTCAGACCTCACGTCATACCACATTTCGCACGTCATCGAAACAACGTTTTCCAGCATGACAACGCCCGTGCCCATGCCGCCAGAGTTACTACAGCAGAACAGTGTCAGCGCTATGCACTGGCCAGCCCTTAGTCCGGATTTAACCCGATTGAATATCTTTGAGATGAAATTCAGAGGAGACCTAATAATGTCGTACCGAGACAATTGCGCCAAGCTTTTCTGAGAGTGTGGTTTCAGGTGCCAATGGCGTTCATCAATCGTTTGGTCCACTCCATGTACAGACGCTGCGCTGCTGTTATTGACACTTGCGGTGGACACACCAGATACTGGTGTATAAATGGTGTACAGACTCTAAACTGTAATGTCTTGGAATTGTGATGAATTAATCACTAATGTGTCAACATACTGTTCACAAAAAAGTCGTTTTCTAGAATGATTTGATTAAAGTGCCTCTCTGATTTTCAAATCGTACTGACGCTTTTTTTCTTTTTTTTTCTGTTTAGTATAATTGTGAAATGTGTACAAAGGTTATGGACACTCCAGATATATGATAAAACGATTTTGGGGGAGTTCGATTTTGGTCTGCATCAGACCGCAACTTCTTGGGTTATGACCTTTACCTTTTACGTAAAATTTGAATTGTACAAAGTTTGTGGACCCTCAAGAGCTCCCAATTTTTTTCCCAATTAGATGAAACTTAATATATATATATATTTGTGTTCCCCTATCGCAAAAATGACATTTCGTTGACTGAAAGTCAACCATCTTGAAAATGGACACCATCATGGATTTTTGAGTGCCTATGTGTTGAAGAAGTGCATATCTGTTATCTATGAATGAATCTGTACAAGAAGTAAATAGATGTTATCTATGTTTATTTTGGTAGTTGTGAATGAATGTTTAGAAGAAGTACATAACTGTTATATGTATGTTTAATTCTGTAGATATTAATGAATGTTTAGAAGAAGTACATAACTGTTATCTGTATATTTATTTCTATAGATATCAATGAATGTTTAGAAGAAGTGCATAACTGTTACCTATGTTTATTTCTGTAGATGTTAATGAATGTGTAGAATATAAGTACATAACTGTTATCTGCATGTTTAATTCTGTAGATAATAATGAATGTTTAGAAGAAGTACATACTGGTAACTATTATCCATGTTTATTTTTGTAGATATTAATGAATGTGTAGAAGAAGTACATAACTGTAATCATTACGCATATTGTGGTAATGTACCTGGAACGTTTTTCTGTCAGTGTAGTAAAGGTTTTACTGGAGATGGTGTCAAATGTTTCGGTAAGTATTTTTTTTCTCAGAATTTATGTATATTTCAGATAATCAATTGTTATTTACGATAGAAAAATATTATAAATAAACTTAAATGTTGGCAATATCCCAAAACAAAAACCATTACCGATTGATACGTTAATCTTTATGAGACTGTATAATCGCCTGCTCACGTTTACACCAGACCATATCCGTATTCATTCTTGATTTTTTAAATTAACATAAGATTTTGGCTGTTGGTAGAAAACTAAAGTTGTCGATGTTCTTGAATTTGGTGTGTAGATTTGTTTTTGAAATCGATTGTGTGCTTTATCTGCCGAAGTAAAATTTTGCACGAAGACAGATTGTCACCCCATAATGCACATGAAATCCCACGGTCAAAGAATTCTAACCAGTGTCCCAACAGTTTATTTTATCTGGATCTAAAAGGTATTACTTATTTACTAGATGTAAATGAATGTGAAAGAAATAATGGCGATTGTGAACATACCTGTGTGAACTATCCTGGACATTATAGATGTGCCTGTGAATCTGGTTTTACTCTAGATACAGATGGTAGATCATGTATAGGTAGGTCGGCTATTTACCCCAGCTCGTAAGGTCCGAACATATTTTGGTTATAATTAACCATGGCTTTTAACTCAACACATGTCTAATGGAGGCATTAACATAGCAGTCAAATTTGATTTTGTATTTTGTACCATTAACAAATGTTTTGGAATAAGTTGAGAAAAAGGAAAAAGTTGTATAATGGTAAATTACATATTTTATCATGTATGTCCCACTACGGCTGGTTTTATATCTCCATAAAAATCCTTTTGTTTGTTTTTTATTACATTTGTCAGATATTCAAATGCAGTCTTTGGGATCACACGGAAGTTCCAAATGCAATTTGACAAAATAATCTGGACAATTTTGGAAACAACTTCTAGAATGGTCTTACAAGGTGGGGGTGGGGGTCAAGGGCGTTGAATGGTTATAAAAATATCAAAAGAAAATAGTTATTTTTTGTTCACAATGTCCATTATATTTATATTTCTAGATGTCAACGAATGTAATTATCACAATGGGCAATGCCAACATAATTGTCATAATCTGGTTGGTTCTTATTTATGTAGCTGCCGCCTGGGACATAATTTACATATCGATGGTAGAACTTGTGTTGGTAAGTGAAGTCGTTAACGCGGCTTGCATTCTGATACAGATCTATATTTCGTTCTGTTTTTTATACTTTCGATGGCCTTCACTACATGATGTGGGAAAGACCAGTAAAACAAAATTTTAAACTATAAAAATACAACTAAATAGGATCTGTGTTTTAATTGGTTTGAGGGATAACAATGTATAACCATCAACATTTGGCACCCATTAACAATGTTTCTAGAACCGTTGTCAGGAAAGCAATTCATATCAAAAAGAGAAAAAATTCAAATTCCAGATGATAGTTTCAGGGTAATCGATCTAGCGGCGCGAGGGCGGAGACTGAGCTATCCATCAACCTTCCCTGTGAAGTTCCACTCGGTGATCGGTCTAGGCTTCTAACGGCGCGATGGTCGGAGACTGGGTGAGTCTGCAATCCCTCAAACTTCTCGGATTGTTTTTTTGGGGTTTTTTTTGTTTTTGTTTTTTTTTATCGTTCAGACTGTCTTTTTATACTTTCATTTCGGTCTCGACGAACAGATGGAATAAACCTGTTCCTGGACTAACTCATACTCCGAAGGGAAAAAATTGTGTGAAACCAGGTGGTCGGCTAGATCTCATGCAACTCATGTTTTGCGAGGAAATTATGCAGAAATAAAGCTCAGTTTGACAAGTTTAGCGTCAGATACAGATGAGACAAGAGTGACTCAAAATGACTCAAGGAACATTCTCAAGAAATTTGAGAAATTCGAAATAGCTGTATGTGTAGTTACAATTCTTCGGCGTTTTAATGCTACTAGTAAGGCGTTTCAGTCTGCAGACTGCACTTTGGGTGTTACCAACGATCTTTACCAAAGTCTCTATTCCTGGACACAGGAGTTCAGAAATAGATTCGACGAGATGGATTTGAGTGCCTGAGAATTGGTTGGGGAAAAAAGGTACTTCTGAGTACAAAGTCAACAGGCAGCAGATAAACATGAACAGGAATCCGAGAGATCAATTCAGAGCATCGGTCTTCATACCGATTTGTGACAATTTGATCACTGAACTCATGAGACAGAAACTCGTCCCCTGAGAGGTAAAAGGTCGCAAGTGACAAAACAGGCAAATTTGATATTTTTGCACCAAAACTTTATAAATTGACCCCTCCAGGTTATAACAAACAATGGTGACAATTGCAATGATACAAACTACAATATGGGTAATTAATATTAGGTAGTAAGTGGAAAACTTTACCAAGATGTCACCGGAGAAAGGTAGTAAGTACACTGATGGCAGTGTAACAAGGTCGTAAGTGACATTTAAATATGTGCAGTAGCAACTTCTTTCTGGCAAACTTCTTTCTGGCTTTCCCACAAAAGCCTGTGTACATTTCATTTTGCGATAGTAGTGTTTAAAATTGATCAACCCGCAGTAGACTTTAATCCTTGAGTGACATTTAGGGATTGGGCACATTAAAAAACACAATACAATTTATATGGAAAAAATAATCACTGGTCTGTACACACATAGCACGACGTTTCGACAAGTATCCTCTTATCGTTGTCGTTTTGTGCTTGATAACAATAAGGGGATACTTGTCGAAACGTCGTGCTATATGTGTACAAAACAGTGATTGTTTTTTCGATATAAATTGTGTTGTGGTTTTTTTTTCACAGTAGACTACACAAAGAACGGGGCTGTAGGGGGGCCTTTTTGCGATACTGCATGTAAGAGACGCTTTTAATACCCCACGTTCGCCGTTTCAATGGACTGTAGTACGGTATGCGTACACACTAGAGCGAATGGGAACTAGAGAGGGATAGAGAGAGGGTTGTGATGCAATGAGACGCCCCTTGAGAGAGAGAGAGAGAGAGAGAGAGAGAAGGAGCGATGGGTGGGGGGGGTCTGAGAGCGAGAAAGAGAGTAAGAGAGATCCACATTGTAACTTAAAGATAGGGCTATAGAGAGCTAGAGAGGGGGGGGTAGTTAAAGAGGTGGGCTAGGGACAGAGAACTAGCGGGAGTGAGGGCTAGAGAGAGCGAACTAGAGAGGACGAGGGCTAGAGAGCGAGCTTAAGAGTGGAGTAGAGAGAGAGAGAGGGGGGTGGGGGCTGAGAGCGAGAAAGAGAGATCCACATTGTAACTTAGAGAGACAGGGCTATAGAGAGGGAGATGGGGGGGGGGTAGCTAGAGAGGCGGGCTAGGGACAGAGAGCTAGCGGGAGCGAAGGCTAGAGAGAGCGAACTAGAGAGGACGAGGGCTATAGTGAGAGGACAAGAGCTAGAGAGCGAGCTTAAGAGTAGAGAGAGAGAGAGAGAGATGGGGATTAACGTCCACTTGGTTCAATTTTACTTCAATAATTCGCTTGCGCGTAGGGGTCTTTTATCAGTGGGGAAACCGGAGGACCCGGGGAAAACCCACGAGGTTGGACAGACAATCATACTCCTTGTCACGTAGAACCGGGGAATCGAAATTACGCCAGTTGTTTCAGTGACAGACCTTATGATACAGCACGCACATGCTAACCGTTCGGCCATCCACCCCCCACCCCACACACACACCCTGAGAAAGATAAGAAACAAGATGGAAAGAGCTAGAGAAAGAGAGAGATGGTGAGAGCTAGAGAGATAGCGACACGGAAAGTGACAGCTACAGAATGGGCTAGTGAGGGAGGGACTTAAGAGAGTTATCGGTAAGGGGGGGAGGGAGCTAGAGGGAGAGAGATAGCTAGAGGGCGAGTGGGGAGGGCAAAAAGCGCTAGAGAGTTGGCTGCCAAGGGATGAGACTTGTCCCTCGAGAAGAGAGAGAGAGAGAAGGGCGGGGGTGGGGCTACAGAGAACAACCTAAGGGGGGGGGGGAGTTAGCTCGCAAAAGAATAAGGTGAGGGAGAGCTTGACCTCGAGGGAGAACAAGCTAGAGAGAAGGGCGAGAGCTAGAGAGTAAGCTTAGACTATTAGAGAGAGATAGAAAGAGAGAGAATCCACAAGATAAAGAACTAGAGAAAGAGCAAGAAAGATCGGGAGAGAGAGCGTGAGCTAGAGAGAAAGCTAGAGCGCGTGAGATAGAGACCTAGGAAGATAGCGAGATAGAAGGCGAGAGCTAGAGATGGAGAGATGGGGCGGGGTCTAAAGAGAACTATCGATATGAGGAGAGCAATCTAGTGGGTGAGGGGCGGAGGGGGTGGGGGGTTAGAGAGAAATAGTGATAAGCCTGCGATGTGATGATACTATCAATCTACTGTGAGAAGGATAGAAGAGATCGAGAGAGAGAATGAGCTAAAGGCTGAGGGTGGTAGGGAGGGAGCTAGCAAGGGTAGGGAGTAGCGATAGAGAAGGGAGAGCAGGGGGGGGGGGGCACAGCAAGGGAGAGTGGGGACTAGAGCGAGATAACAAGTGGGCGAGATAGAGAGGTGAAGAGAGTGAGATAGAGAGAAGGTTGTACGATACCGTGAGGCTTGACAGGGAGGGTGCGCGCGAGAGCCAGAGAAAGGTATCAAGATAGCGTGAGGGATAGAGGGAAGAGGGGCCTGGGGTTAGAGAGGGGTATAACATCCACTGAACACAAACTAGGCCATAATTTTACTTCAATAATTTGCTTGCGCGTAGGGGTCTGTATCAATGATAGAAAGTCGGAGAAAACCCAACGAGGTTGAGCAGGCTACCATACTGTTAACCATGCCACTTAACTCAATTACAGACCTTAAGATCCAAAGCGTACCCGTAAGACCAATATAACTTCCACCCCATGGCAAAATCACAGAAGGTCGTAAACAGCAATAAGTATGTATCTTTGGTTATAGGTAGAGAGTAGAAAAAGGTCGTAAGTGACCTTTCCGAGTTACCACACCTGATAACTGAAAACTTTATATTGCATTTCTAGCTATTCCCAATCATAACATACTGTACAAAATATTAGAAAAAACAATAAATAAACAATTTTACAGGACCATTTTCAAACCTTTAAACTCGATTTTCTCGAAAAGTGAAAAATGTCACTTACGACCTTTTCCCTATCAGGGGACGAACTAAGCGCGAAATGATACTGTCTTATCGGCTGACATATATGCGGACATTATTATGGTGTTATCTTTTAAACAAAAGCAATTCAAGGGACATAACTACATTATGTCGTTAATTCCTAATATTCCACACATTTTACTGTTATCTCATCATGGTTCTCATATATTACACAATCAGTAGGCAAGTTCCTTGTGGAGTATATTGTTTTATCTTAATAATTTTTTTTAAAACCTGGAAGTTCATATTGTTAGCTTAAAAATAAATTATCCTGGTCCTAATAATGATTTTCCATCCAACTAAAAGGGAGACACTGCGAGCTACATCCACACAAGAATACAGTTTATAATGATTATAATGAAGCATCTCTAAATATAAGACACATCATTAATATACAAATTCCCGAAAAACCAGGGTTGAGAATAAAATAATGACATTTTTCCAAATATCGGATGGTTTTATTCCGATGATTTTACGAGTACAAATTGAACCAAGATTAATTACATATTTTCACGTTTTACTGATGCACAAGCCGTGGCATTTAGAGCCAAATAACTAAACAAATATGAACATATTTCACACCGATGTTTCATCTTTGTACCTTATTAAAATTAGATTACCCAAAGTCATTTAACGCATAGTCTTCGAAAGAAATGGGGCGGTCGCGAAGCTGGATTAACCCTGGTCTCCATTACGATACAACTTGAAAGAGTGGTTTATAATCTCACTGACATCATTAACTTATTTTTACAGATATAAATGAATGTTTGATAGATAATGGTAAATGTTCTGAAAACTGTACAAATGTCAATGGATCATTTGTTTGTTCTTGTTTTGAAGATAGAGTTCTCGATGATGACTCGGCTTGCAGACGTAATTATAATTTCCGTTTCTATTATTACTATTATTTATTTACAGTATTGTATTATTATGTTTATCTAGACCACCATATTGATTTAAAATGTAATTTTTAAAGGTGAATCTGATTTGTTTTCATATACATTTATATATTTAGGGTTTCATTGACTGCTTGTTTGCTATGTGTCTAATGGTTGTTTGACCTGTCATAAATTCACATTGTATCAATATTTATTAAGGAATCGGTTGTCAGTATGTAATATGTATTTTGTTCCATTACATTTGCACTAATAGTTTTAATGCATGGGTGTTAATTATTTTGATAGTTATTTAATTGTATATTCTCAAAACAAGTACCGTAGATTTCTACAATTTTTGGTGATAACCCCGGATTATTGCAATAAGATGACAACGGGGGAACTGGATGTCTTCGTTTTCTTCGTTTGAAATAATGAGCTTAGGCTATTAATATTATTATTAATTCTCAAATTAAATTACCACGTTAGCATATCGGTAATAATCCATGTGCCAGTAATGCGAATCTTCCATCCAACCAATTAGATTTCTCATACGTACACATTTTATATAGGTCAAGGCATAAGATACCAATTATAAATGTTTAACGCCTTAATTAAACGACGACTCTAAGGAAATAGCCTGCACTCATCCGGGTGTCTTACAGTATAGTGTCCGATTTGTCAGATCACGTGGTTTTTTAACTTACATTTAAAACGATGTAAATAAATACAAGGCTTATGTAAGATTACATCAAACATAATGTAAAAATACAACCGTATTATGCCAGTGAGCTGTATATCAATAGAAATGCCATTTAAAATATTATTTGTATAGCAAATTGTAAATTTACTGTCAAATAGTGGTCACATCGGTTATGCCCCCTTTGACCACATATCGAATTTTGTGCAACATATTTACTGATCTGTCAGTCAGTTTAGTCTATTTTAGAGAAAAAGGTTATTGAAAATCTGAATGCACCTAGAGCAGTAAATTTACCTACAGAAATACTGACATTTGTAACGAAGTATAATTACATAAACTTTGTCAAATTAAGGGGGGGGGGCGAATGGTTAGCACGTGCGCATTGTATCATAAGGTCTGTCATTGGGTCAACTGGCATTGTTTCGATTCACGTGGCTTAACTGTGCATTTTACATGAACATTATCCGCTTAAATGGAGATCGTTATAATCATGAATAGTGGATTTTTCATGTAGTGATTCCTTTGAAATAAAACATTCTGACTAATCAATCAAACCAGAACCGGTTTACCAGCGAGATATTAAATTCAAAACAGGCGAAACGGTCCGTTGAAAGAATAGTTTTCACATAACGGGGATTCAAACATAGGTACATGGATATATCTAATAAAAATCTGATGCATTAATTTTTTATGTTTTTATGTATACAGCTATAAGATCTTGCTATGATAAAAATGGTGGATGTGATCAACGATGCCGTAATGGAACTGATGAAACTATTATATGTAGTTGTAGAGAAGGCTACTTATTAGATGATAATGGAAAAAGCTGTCATGGTAGATTTAACAATACTTTTCTACTTAGATAGTAATAATAGCAGTAATGATCATAATACAAAACACGGCGTTGTCATGCAACGAAACACGAAAATATGCTGCCCAGCATTTTATTTCTATCAAGTAGATACAACCTAAAGCTTTGCTGTCATGCAAATCGCCGAAACAATTACTTCATTCAAACAAAAATAGGTGATATTTTGAGTGTGTGCTAGTTTTCTATGACACGGGGAATGGCAAAACAAATGTTTTTGTGGGATAGGGTTATTCTTTATGTCCAACTGAACAATTCTACCATTTTCATTTTTAAAGGCAGTGATTAACTAACTAATCCTATATAATTTCAAACAAGTATTTAAAGTATGTAATATGTTATTGTAAAGGAGTCGTAGATATTAATGGTAGAGTTTGTAGCATATAAACATATCACACCAAGTATTTCAGGGTTTCGGGGAAATATTCTGAATGCGATCTATAAAGTAAATACACGGATAAGGGTATATAACGACATATTTTTCCTACAATGATGAAACGTAGGCATATTCTAGTTGGATATTATACACCGGCCATATTTACAACCGGTTGGCTGTTTTAAACAAAAATCGATCAAGTACTTATAAGATAAATGGATTTGATTGTGAAGCTAGATTCCTGTGGTTAGATGATGATGCTTTTTAAACATTTTTATTGATACTTTTGTCAATGGGGGTTATTTACGATTATCGATCGTCCTTACACGAGGATACTTTAATAATCCGTTGGAAATAAGGCGCCTCGGGAATATATTATAGGGACGTCTTCCGATAATGCGCAACGGGAAACCCTTGTCCCACAGCAATACTAAATATATGACGATACGTTGTCGTTAGGAGGTGACTGTGGTACTGGAGCGTCTAAAAACTAAGGGAAAAGAATATTTGTACAGTCCTACACACAAACCAGGTTTTTGGCAAAATCCAGCTCGATATAGTTCGATTCGGTTTGTTACATATTTCCCATCGGTCGACTTTTCGGGTAGAAATCATGGAATAAGCTTTATTTTGTAGGTTTTGATGTTTGATTACATCATATACTATTCAAAAAAAGTAGGGGATATTTGATTTTGGGGGCATAATACTAACATATGCAAATGACTACGAAAAAAGTCACTATAGAACCTAACAGAAGAAACATTTCCAGTTACATGTGACGCCCAAACGCACCAATAGCTACCGCATGGAATGCAGGTGATGCTTGGGATCATCATGGGGGTCCAACCCAAGATTTGCACGACTCTGACTTTGAATGTTACAGTCATTGTGGCATTGAATTCCAGGGTGGAAACATCAGTTTAATTGTTTTAGTGACCAGAAAACAAATTTTGATATGCGTCGGCTTACCCAAAATGAAAGGTTACGTGCCCTTGGCATGCTACAGATCGGCACAACACAGGCGGTTGTGGCGCGGACGATGAATGTTTCTCAGTCTGTCATAAGCAGGCTATGGTCCAGATACCGTGATACACAATCTGTACAGGACAGACCACGCTCAGGTCGACCAAGGGCGACAACTCAAGCCCAGGATCGATTTATCCGTACCTTGGCCTTGAGAAATCGTGTCATCACAGCAAATCAGATCAGCGCTCGTCTTCAAACAGACACTGGTGTGAGAGTGAGTGGCCAGACGATTCGGAATCGACTGCATAGGGGTCACCTTCGCGCCCGACGTCCTCGCGTGATCCCTTGTTTGAGAGATCATCACATTCAGGCAAGACGTCGTTGGTGTAGGGATCGTCAACACTGGGATAATCGACGCTGGAGCAATGTGATGTTTTCAGATGAGTCAAGGTTCACTGTTGATTTTTTGGACAGACGTAGGAGGGTGTGGCGTCGTCGAAACGAGCGCTTCCAAGACGTTAACGTCATCAGACATGATCGATTTGGGGGTGGTTCTGTTATGGTGTGGGGAGGCATCACTGTTGCTGGAAGAACGGCTTTACATGTTGTTGCAGGGCGTGTTACAGGCCAGTACTACCGGGACAACATCTTGGCAGTCCATGTTGTGCCGTTCGCACGACGTCATGGCCGCCGTTTCATCTTCCAGGATGACAACGCAAGATGTCACAGGGCCAGGATCGTTACAGGTTACCTCCAACAACAGAACATCACCACATTACCTTGGCCAGCACTGAGTCCCGACCTCTCCCCCAATCGAGCATGTCTGGGACATGCTTGGACAGAGGTTACGTCAACGTCAACAACGTCCTGCCAATGTCCAAGAACTTGCTGCTGCGTTGCAACAGGAATGGGACAATCTGGACCAAAATGACCTTAGACGTCTCATTAGGAGTATGCCACGTCGGATCAATGCTTGTTTGGCAAACAGAGGAGGATTTACCCGTTACTGACTTGGTTGTGATGCTGTGGTAACTTTGCTGTTTGACCCCGGGTATCATTTTACCCTTATAATGGTCAGTCTGTGCCTTACTTAGTCTAACGATCATTTGGAATAAATCGATGAATGTGAACTTCATTTCATTTTGTCATTTGTTTCTTCGTCAGTTTCATTAGGTGACTTTAATAACACTTAAAAATCAAATATCCCCTACTTTTTTTGAATAGTTATATATGTTTTCAAGGGAACAGAATCCATTTCGGTCAGTGACAACTGTGTATAAAATTATTATTTTGCACATTTACAATATGACGGCCATTTTTGGCGGGAATATGTAAGGATGTGCGAATATTGATTAAGTAGTCGTCTATGGTACCAGGATATATTTTTTTGCGGAGCAGATTCAATTTTTGCCGTTTACAACTGTGTAAAATCATCACATGTTCACATATTTGGCATATTTCCAATATGGCTTTCATGTCGGGCGGGAAACTGGGACGATGTGCTGATTTTGATTACGTTGTCGCGTTTTTGTGTCAATATTTGTTTTTCGGGGGCACAGATTCGATTTCTGCCATTTACAACTGCGTGAAATGGTGGTATGTACACACATTCAGCATATTTTTGTTTGTGGCAGGACGTTTTCTGAACACATTACTGAAAAGGTTTCTGAATCCAATTCTGCTATGTATGAGCTTGCAGCATGTTCCTGGAAGCCCGTTCAAAGTTTACCCATTAGGTATATTATCCATATATTAGGTATATGTAGTAGTTGAACTCCAGTCTGATTTTAAGACTTGGTGGCGCCATCGAGACTTTCAGATTATGTCCAACTATGATTAAAAATGTGTGACTTACAACTGTTGAAAAGGTAATTAATAAATTAAAGAGTAGAACAGAAATGTATGATATTAAATATAAAGTGGTATGCAGAGAAATAAAAACAAGGACGGCAAATGCAGTAGTAATACTTGCTATAAGAAACCTTTATGGCATAGGTTATATTATCAACTGACCCCAAGATGCGTGTGGAAGGAATCGTTCAGAGGATTGCAGTTGCGTTGGAAAAACAAACTATATCACCACTTAAACGACGCCGTGACCCGTTATTTATGACATCTCTGCCATCTCCACTGACAGTGATGTCAAAGTAGCCAGCCACGTCGTCGTGTACGTGGTGACATACTTTATGTTTCCAACGCAATATCATTCCACATGCTCGTTCTACATTCATCTTGGAAATCAGTTGATAACATAATTTATGCTATGAGGGCTTCTTAGCAAGTATTTCATTTACAGCCACGTCCCCACCACTATCCTCCACCTTGCTGCCAGGCTGGAACGAAGCTCCTGGCCATATACTTTCTACGCTGTTACGACGTTTATGTTTATATAGGGAAGATACTGAGCCTCGTCCATCTGCTCCAGTCTAGTACCCAAAGAGGAAACCTCAAGAAAACTATGAAATGTTCTTGTTTGCTTGACTTTTGGTTGTTCTCTGCTTTGAAAGTGAATGAGGACGGGTGAGCATGGCACAGTCTCTATAGGCGTGGCGAGAGGACGCTTTACGCCTGGTAGGCACATCACTAAAGTGTGGTGATGAGCGTAGTAAGATCTTGTAGTAAGCGCTTGGTGTGGTCGTGGCAGGCGCATAATGGGCACGTGGCGTAAGCACCACGCTGCCCCTATGCTCTTTTTGCCTTCATGCCAGGAATAGGCTTTGCTTTCCCAGGAAAATCGATGATAAATAAATAATAATAATGTGTTTAGAAAACGTTCCACCATCTTGGAAATATGCTAAATTGGTGAACATACGACCATTTATGTAGTTGTATATGACAGAAATCGAATCTGCCTCCCCGAAAACATATTATATTGTCACCAAAGACAACTACTTAATCGAAATCAACCCATCGTCCGATTTTCCCGCCAGAAATGGCAGCAATATTGGAAATATACTAAATATCTGTACATCGTCTCATTTTCCCGCCAAAAATGCCCACCATCTTGGTAATATGCTAAGTATATGAACATGTGATCATTTTACAGGGTCGAAATGTCAGGAATGGAATCTGTGACCCCGAAAACATATATATTGACACCAAACACTACTACTTAATCGAAATCAGCGCATCGACAGATTTTCCCGCTAAAAATGAGCGCCATCTTGGAAATATCATCATGAAATGATGGAAAACAATCTGAAATATGGTCATGAATGCCGCCAATATTAATACATTGCCAAATCACAGTTGATATGTCGATAACATTATAAATAAGGTGAAAATAAAAAATAATTTGGAATATTATCGCAAAATGGCTACCCTCAAATAATGGCCTCCCATACTATGAAGACCTACTCAAAAAAATGTCAACATTGGTTTTTTGTAATCAAACATCAAAACCTACAAAATAAAACTTATTCCACGATTTCTACCCGAAAAGCCGACGGATTTACATTAACGATCGGACTAGTACGTGAGTGAAGAGAGACAAGGCTCACTCCCATATTATTATATACCTAACGGTTCTTATATAACCTTATCGTCAGTGTTAACTTTTAATCCTCTTAATTTCTAAACTTAGTCTAAATACCTATGATTGTAGGAAACCGCAATTAATGTTGCGGATCTAACTAAATAAAAGTTGAGTAAGGGATCTTGATGAGAACTAAATATTTCAATAATTATACAACTTTTTGATATACATGAGCTCTGTAGGAAAAGCCTTTTCGAGGAGGTGTGATAAGGCATGTATACATGACTAAACATCGGAACGTAATATCTCTATACAATAACACGTTAGACAGTACGCCTGAGTATGCATTACCATTAATACTGTCGATACAATCTATAACAGGTAATTGTTGAAAATTGTAAGGACAACAATTCATGCAAACACTTGAAATTTGAACAGCGGAAAATATGTTTGTAATAAATCAATTAGTTTAAAGTGCCCTTAATCATAAATGGCGTTTTACTTCATTAACGACATAAAATACGAAATCAAACGAAATGAAACTAAATGGGGTTTAACGTCCCACAGTTCTGTTCCAACTGGGCTAATGAAGACGGGACAAAATCAAATAATTGTTCTATCAAGTTTATAGAAATTAATCTATTATGTATCATTGTATAACTATAAAGTTCAGTTCACGGCAAAATATTTTCAGTTGAATCTTTCAAACAAGTACAATCACATTGTGGCGTTTGAAGCGCATCCTTAACAGTGGGGTCTTTTCCTTCAAAGCTATCCTTTCGTTTAGCAGTAATAGGTTAATTCTGAATTATATGCAATTAGATTCGAGTACCATCTTTAGGTTTTGATGGACCTGTTTTAATCCGTAAAAATCCGAGCCGCCGGGGATATAACTAGCATTCATGTTTTGATTTTTTAAAAATTATATGTTGAGTAAGTAATATACTAGCGTATGTTAAGCCGTGAGAAAGCGCGCACAGTTATTTTAACAGGCCAATGCTTGAAATTCTGTACTTATGCGGGTCGTTATGAATTGGTTTTGAAAAATAATGAATCGTATATATTTTCTGTTTGTCTGGTTGTCTATTGGATAAATTGCCCTCACAACACGTAATGCATATCGTGTGTGTTTCTCAGTACACTTTAGTATTTAGTAACATTGATCTACAACTTTTTAAAATATTCAACAGAAATAATAATATATCAAAGATCAAGACCTATAGATCACATAAACTTTTAGCTGAATACATCAAATTAATATTTCTATTTCTTTAACTTCAGCAATGTTTTTCATTGATACATTTTGAAAAGATGGAAGGAATAAAATATGGCTTATTATTAGGACTCTCTTATGAAATCAAACTAATTAGTCTTTAGAGTTAACAACTGTAAATTTATTTGAAGTATTGTGTTCTATGCGATACAATACAAATTATCTGAGATAGAAACCTTTGTTATTCTGAAACTTATGCTTGTAATTAGAAACTATTTGTATAAGTAGTTAAACAAAATAGAATTGGTATTAGAAAGATACAGAGAAAGTTTGAACTCCTTAAATAAGGCGTAAACGTGCCTTCTTCGTTTTCTTGCACGGCATCAATCACTAGTGTCAGTTTGTATAATAAAACTTTATGTAAATTTGAAAATAATCTGAAACGCGGTTGATATTAAGTACCCTGACAGGTGCCTATCCTTCTTGTTCTGCTATGCAAAGGATACACAAAAACCCAACCGACACATCAATTAGCATTGTTCTAATAAATCTGAGGATGATATTATTCCAATCCTAACCAATCAAGTGGGTTATTGTAAAACATATCAAACTGGTGTGACGGCTCAACAAACGAGAGCTATTACGTGTACGGCTAAATGCTGAAAAATTTGCCCAATTTGATATTTTTATGTTTTATCCTATACAACGTTAAGTGATGTTAGTTAAAATTGGCTAACATTGGATTTTTCTATTTACGACGAAGGAATCTTGATATAAACCATTCTTATTTTATTATCTTCAGAATTAATTTGATCAACGATTTTCTAGTAGATTAATTATACGTCTAACGGTACATTTTATTTATATCCACTGACAATATAATTCTTATTATAGATGTAGATGAATGTAAGACGTATATAAATGGTGGATGTGAACAAGAATGTATTAATACGCCAGGAAGTTATAAATGTACCTGTTTCAAAGGTTATAAACAATTAGTGAATAAAGATCACGTTGACAAATGTGAAGGTAAATTATAAACATCGTCCAATTATAATCGGAACTTAAATACCATGATAAGAAATGTCAAGTGTGGTATTGTAATATTTAATGGCCCACTTTACTGTTAATTGCAATTAAGAAATATCATATAATAATGTCTCCAAAAAGTTAGAACTTTTATCTATAGGTGCGATGTTTTGCAAATGACATAATTACTAACAGAGAAGATTTTTTTTGGGGGGGGGGGGGGGTGGCGGGAACAGTTTATAGATATTTCACTTGCGACTGGATAAATATATATTTTTATCTATTTTTACAAGATCAAACAAAAATTGTTCTTTTTTATAATGTTAGTACAGAGCATGTTGGCGAGGAATTGTACTTCAAAACAATATATCTCACAATCTGTTTAACAGGATATAATTTTTTAAAGATTTTTTGTATAGTTTTGTTTTATTAAATAGATATATAGTCTATTCAACTATTATTTACTTTCATGCTTGCATCCCTAGGGCTGCTAGCCTTTAATTGATTTATCGTTGTATGTTATACAAATACTTCTATATATATTTAAGGCAGATTCTAATGCGAGGTATGTGTGAAATATTTAATGTGTTTGTTTATCAAACAACACACCGGCTGTGCTGCGTTATTTTTTTTTCTCTGAAACTAGAAACCTTTGAACACATGACTCCGGGATATGTAGTGAACGCGTTCAACCTCACGCCCCCTTCTTTATATTATATACCTGTAAGTGGGGTATTATCGATTATAATCAAACCTTCATCTTTACTTTAAATGGTGTTAGTATATTATAACTGTTTTTTTAAGCTATTTGTGAACCAAAATGTAAAAATAATGGTAAATGTGTTGCACCTAATAAATGTTTATGCCCTGTCGGTTATCCAGGACCACGGTGTACCGGTAAGTATTGACAATGAAAAAAAACCCCGATTTTCTTTCAAGTATCAAGCTTTAATATAGTAATTAAGAATGACCATTGGTATGCCTATTTAATAATGAACAATTTTCTATCGGGGGTCGCTGCTGCTGAGGGGTATGGGACGAACCTCCGGGATTTTTCAAGCCCGTCATTCAAGGAAAGTCTGCCTAGATCCATATGTATACCTTGCGTGCAAGAAAAAAGAAACCATAGCAGATGACAAAAGCGGAAGTGCAGAGGAAATCCCCTATCTTCGCAAACCATAAAAAAAAAATTACCATATTATGATCGTCTGAAAATGTCCGAGGTATTGTGTTACAACCCATTTCATTGCAAAGTTTTATACAGCCGAGTTTCCATTTGGGCATAAATCTGTCTATACGAATTAGGGGCAATATTCCCGAATGCTCCTTACGTTTAGTCAGTGGTTAGATGTTCTGCTTATTCCGTGTTAACACTATAGATTTTAGTTTTGGTTATTATATACTCATATCGCGGCTCCACAATTTCTTATCAATACTTTAGCAGGCTTCATCAGATTGTCATAGAATATTTAAAAGGTAATAAAATAACTAGATCGATCGTCACAGGGAGGAATTCTTGATAGAATTGTTCAAAGCTTGGACGATTTAGCTGTTACATTGCAAGCCCACGTCTATTTCTGCCTATTATATCGATTACGGAACAAAATATCGGTAATCCCCATGATCATCAATTACAAAACGTTATTCAATGCTATTCAGTCAATTAACCAAATGTCCTAAATATATGTATTTCTATGACATGTTCATGGGCACGGTATCTCTTTCTTAAACGTTGACTATTGTTTCAGCTCGATGTGAGCCAGCTTGTGCTCATGGTGGAGCATGTCATCGTCACAACCAATGTATCTGTCAACCTGGCTGGACTGATCCTGGTTGTCTGACAGGTTCGTATTAGTTATTGCTTCTTGTGCAATAAGAGGAGAGGAAAGTGCCACCCAATGTGCCACGGTTCTTTTCCTTTGTAAACCAGATCTTCCTTTAGTTAGACCCCCTCCCAGTGACAGTGAAGTTCAGACAGCCTTTTAGTCTAAATGGGAGTTTCGAGATTTCAAACATATAGAGACCCGAATTATTCCCTGTTTACGAAGCTAAATGTTTCGTTTGGAAGTTAGATTATTGACCCGCAAGGTTATTCAAACCAGTACTACAAAATGACCAATAAAAGATAACATTCTTTGTTATTTTTACCAAACCAGGCGAAGAAAAACAAATTGGTGAAATCGCGTCTTATACAAACATTTATTTATGTAAGACCTGAATCAAGCCATGACATCGTCCAAAGCACCACATGTCAAATTAATCTAACCTGTCTAAATGGATCACCTGTGAAAACACACTGATGCATCGCATGCAATATTATCAACTTGATTATTATAGCTGTATGTAGACCGGGATGTCTCAATGGTGGTAAATGTATAGCACCGAAAACATGTCAGTGTAAAACTGGCTATACTGGTTCAAGATGTGAAACACGTAAGTATCTTCAATTTTAACGTAACAAAAATATCCAGAAAACATTGTGCTATAATAAGTGGGTTTTCTAACTGGCGAAAGCTTTAGAAAAGTGGCATCGGATGTTTCGAAAAGGGCTAAGCATATTGTGCCCCATAAACGTCATCCGCTATTACTAATTAGAAATTATAACTTATATTACTACACAAGGCTTTTAAAAAGATGCATTTTAAATTTTATTTACACTGCAGCTATTTGTGTACCGGCTAAGCATATTGTGCCCCATAAACGTGATCCGCTATTACTAATTAGAAATTATAACCTAAATTACTACACAAGGCTTTTAAAAAGATGCATTTTAAATTTTATTTACACTGCAGCTATTTGTGTACCGGCTTGTAGAAATGGTGGTATTTGTCGTCAACCGAATGTCTGTTTATGTCAGAATGGTTTTAGTGGGCCACGATGTTCTCAATGTAAGTAATAATAGTGTCATTATTATTTGGCTTACGGTTTATTTAGTGTATATATGCCATTATTACTTTGTTTATGGTTTGGTTAATGTATATGTTGTCAATAGATTTATTCTTTTATTTGGGATTGATAAATCTGCTTTTAATGGACAAATGGAATATAATGGATACAGATATTGATGACACTGTTGTCTTATTTACCAGAAAATAGTCTTTTATTCACAACATATCTCTAATGTTTTACTGATTTATAAGAACATTACTGACGCATCAAAACAAGATCAGTTTCCACACAATCTGCAGGGGCGTCAATTAATTATGGCGATCCAAGGCCATGTTTTGGTATGCCCTTTGTGAGACCTTCTCATGTAGCTATTTAACCAGGGGCTTCCAAAATTTGAATAGCTTAGGACCTCACCAAGTCTAATTTGGGTATTAAATAGGTCGAAATGAGGAGATATGTGAATCTCTCAAGGACTGTTTTCGTATACTTAATTGGTGTATTTTCTATCATAGCACCATCTACATGTAACACCCATTGTGAGAATGGCGGACGATGTATTGGAATCAACAGATGTCGTTGTCCACCAGGCTACAGGGGTAACCGATGTCAATTTTGTTAGTAGACCTTTTTGTCTTTAACATTTAATTAATAGTGTGTGTAAATAAATCAGTACCAACTTCGTTTCTTTAAAGGGGCATGAGGTAAAATTAGATAAAGAGCTGACAATTCTCGCTATAATAGTTAAAAAATAGATAACAGAATTTGCTGAAAATTTCAGTCAAATTGCTCAACTCTGAACCGAGATATTAACGATAGAATTTTAGACCTAGCATCGATCATCATTACTAAAGTCGGTTCGATAAAAAAAACAAAGTCTCGATTATTCATTTTGACGTTAAATCACTTATCACAAAATGTATCCAAATCCAGTAAATATCGCAGGCTAGCGATGTCATCGAGAGTTGCTTATGATCTGGATAAGTTAATTATTGTCTAATTAAAAGTTATTTCAGGCCTAACGAAAGACCTGCAATAGGCAGATTCAGCTCTTGCATAATGTATGTTTAATAGAAAAACATACTCATTTAATTTCCGAGCATATTAAAGCGCCTAGACTGAAACCCTATTCTATATGATCTATATAGAAATATGGACAAAATTGCAAAAGCGCAAACAATGGTTGCCAATTCTTGTGAATATGCACCACATCACACTGCAGACCTACAATAATCTTAAAAGTATGTAAATATTTGAATAAAAACATGAAAATAATATCCATTGCTGTAAACTCAGTTTAATTGTGATCTTCTAATCATATTGGGCCGTAATTTGGTCGTACAACTCATTTCTTCACAGACTACTGTATTCATAAAATCATAATAAAATTTGACAAATATTTTTAGCTGTATCTATCGTATATTTCTCTTTTTTTTATTAATGTATATAATTTAAACGGCAGCAAGAGGGGGTCCATCATGTCGACCTGCGTGTCAAAATGGTGGAACATGTTTGGCGGGGAACAAATGTTCCTGTATACACGGTACGGAAGGTCGTAGATGCCAGAAAAGGTAGATATAACATAATTTAACAGCCCATTCCTACATATATAAATAAATAGTCAATGGTACATTTTCAGTTACATATGATTTACAAAATATTGTAATATGGTCAGTAACATATAATTCATGAGACTTCATGAACGTAGAAGACTCTAGTTTAAACGCAAAATGTGTTCGGCTTACTTTTATATTTTCATGTATTAAACATGGCACCATCTGTCTTATATGGGTCTAAATGTTTGGTTTTACATTATAGTAACTGTCCAGTGGTAACGTACACACAAACTACTAAGAGAGGTAGACGTCAACCAATGAGGGAAACCTATAAAGTTAAATGTGGAAGATTTGGTTGGGATGAGTGCACTGCTTATAGGTACCCGTATTAGTATATCTAACAGTGTTAGCCTATATGGCGGGGTATCGGGTTCAAAATGCAATCTAGAGTAAAAAGCAGAAAGTCAACAGTAAAAAGCAGAAAGTCAACAGTAAAAAGTAGAAAATCTAAAGTAAACGGGAAAATTCTTATCTAAAAGGGTATTTTTATGGTGAAAACTTATAAATTTATGCAGAAACATCAAGCTTTTCAACTTTCATGGACATAATTTCTACTTTCTACTATTAACTTTTGACTTTCGACTTTCCGTATTCTATTTTGTACTGTCAACTTTTGACTCTTGACTTTCCACTTCAGATTTTCTACTCACGATTTTCTAACGCAGATTTTCTCCAATACTATGGTGGCTGATAGTAGGCCATGTAATTTTTCGCTATTTTCATTATGGCGGGTTGTAATACCCATCTTAACAGGTACGAAGAACCGATCATGACATCATCGCCGCCGTCTTGGAAGTGTGACGTCTATCGATCCGCAGTTGTCCAAGGAAAAAGCATGCAAAGTTCTATGTGGATCGTGCTTGAATTGGTGGAGCCCGTCTTAGATATCGGGGCCGGCTAATTCCTAGGTTGTTCATCAAGAGTCTATAGCAATATTTGTTTTAATCTTAGAGACGGCCTTCAATCAATTTCTTGAGCTCCTGAGTTTGATCCATCTTTTTTTTCAGAATGGTACAGAAGTTTATTTATAAAACAACCTACCAAGTTGGCTATAGAAGAAAATGTAAACCTTAGTCGAAAGGAAGAAAAACAGAAATTCTATTGATCTAAAGTGAATGTGTGCTATATACATGTATAAAGCCTATATAATCCACTTTTCCATTGGGTTAATTTGTTTGATTATTAAATATATATACTTATCGTTTATCTTATCGTTTTCTAAATGAACCTAATCAGCACTTAAAGGACAAAATTGGTGTCAGTCATTATCACATATGTGATAGAACTGGTTAAACACGTTCCAAATATAATTTTAACACAGAGATCACTGTTGCGATAGATGCGTAATGCAGGTTTCAACAATCGGAAGTGACGAACGCAAAAGGAAAACACGAGTTATCCCTCTATATAACTGACTGAAGTGACGAGTGATAACAGATACATGGGCGAATTTCTGCTCACTAATAATTCCTTGGAAGACTAAAAGTTGTTGTGTGGGACTGTGAGAGGATATCTGACAATTCAGAAAAAGAATCGACTGTCACTAGATAAGAGAACACGAAAGAAAAATAGCAAAAGTCCGTGCATTACCATGTTTTTATTAAATATAGAATGATTAAAAATAAGGGAATGTACGGACTATTTCTATTTTTCTCGTGTTCTCTTATCTAATGACATTCAATTGACTGTCACTAGATAAGAGAACACGAAAGAAAAATAGAAAAAGTCCGCGCAATTCCATGTTTTGTTTTATTAAGTATAGAATGAATAAAAACAAGGGAATTAACGGACTATTTCTATTTTTCTCGTGTTCTCTTATCTAGTGACATTCAATTACTTTTTGGAATTGTCAGATATCCTCTTACAGTCTCATATAACAACTTTTCGTCTCCAAATTCGCCCGTGTATCTGTTATCGCTCGTCACTCCAGTCCGTTATATAGAGGGATACCTCGTGTTTTCCTTTTGCGTTCGTCACGTCCGATTGTTGAAACCTTCATTACGCATCTATTGTAGCAATGATTACTGTGTTAAAATTATATTTGGAACGTGTTTAACCAGTTCTATCACATACGAGTATGTGATAATGACTGGCACCAATATTGTCCTTTAAGAACATATTGATAATGTGGAAGATAAAGATTTGTAAAACCTATAAATGAAACTAGTTTCTTAAGGAATAAAGAACATAAACAGAAATATTATTAAAATCATACATCTATAGTCATTGATCAATAATAATCAATCGAGTGGCACACTTCTTTTTGTTTTACTATAATAGTAAGTGCAGGGGGACTTGCGATTACTGGGAAAATCCAACATTTCTCATTATACTTGGAGTATGGTTCCTCAGTCCATCAGTGACAAATATCCTTTTAAAGTTGATTGCACTACCCTACCACGACACCGGAGCAGTGTTATATTTCACGTCAGTAAATGAAAATCCAATACAATACTTCCTATACTAAATACACAAACTGTTGTTCAATGATCAAATAAAACAATCGCCTGTGGATGACTAATATTATTCATATGAAGACAAAAAAAGAGAGAAACATCAAGTAAAGTATGACGTATCAAACCTGGATTTGTATCAAAGTCCGTGCATTGGTGCGCAATTGTCCGCCGAATTTGTGGACATGAATTGACGGGTCGTTAATCTGTTTTCAAAGAGGGCAGCCCCCAAGAAGAAGAAGAAAAAGAAGAAGAAGAACAGCAAGATAATTGTTAATGAACAATTAATTATTAGATTTTAAAAAGCAATCTGTCTTATAAACTCTGTTGTTATGTTTGTCTATCTAAATTTTGAATAATGTAAAATCGCTAATAAATTTATTCTTACAATTAAATAAGTAGTCTATAAAAACTAAAAACTTTAGCGGTGTCTCGTATGTCTGTACTGTAGCACTGTTTTGCAAGCAAAAAAAAACAAAAAAACCCCAACAACAATGAGGTACAATTATTGCTCAGTCTTATCGCTCTTATATATATATAACCACTGTTTTAAACATGTATACAAGTATACATGTACATTTTCCATTTCCAGCATGACCTATTTCTTCCATCTCAATGACATCTTTTCACATAACCATGGATTACAATACATTCTTTAATATAACGGATCAGAACGGAGAAAAAGATGAATAACATAATTTAGTTAACAGTATAAAAACATCAAAATTAACTGAGTTCGATTGCCAAACTCCATAAAATGAATGACCTTGATTAAAGGTATGTTGACAAGGACAGATTCTTGTTTCGAGTGTTTGGATGATGACCGATCTTGTTAACATAACAACGAATCGGCTGGTGATCTTAATTCGCCAAGTGGGCAAATAATATACATGTATCTATGGTAGTCCCAATGGTCTTGCATATTGTAAATGGTGGTACGT